ATTGGACCTCTTGACGCGTTGGACCTCCTGACGCGTTGGACCTCTTGACTCGCCGTGGATCTCTTGACTCGTTGGACCTCTTGACGCGTTGGACCTATTGACCCATATTGGATCTCTTGACTCGTGCCTCGATGTGCCAAGAGGTCCAACGCGTCAAGAGGTCCAATATTGGATAGCTTGACTCGTTGCATCTCTTGGTGTGAAATATGTACCGGCAAGGGGTGTAAAATATGTGCAGGCAAAAAAAAAAAAAAAAAACTATGAGGGCACCTAAGCTTTCTTTTACGAAGTGAGAATGCGCGAGCACTGCCTTATCCCGAGTTGTGTTGCCGCAACAGATAGCGTGCTAATTGCGCGATCAAGAGGGCCTAGATTCGAAACCAGTAAAAAGGGAGGTCACGTGACCAGAGGTGTTTTCTTTTCTTTTTTGGTCACGCGATTACAGACTTTTTTGTTTGGTCACATGACCAGATAGGACACGTGACCAGAGAGATCACGTGACCAGTGATATAGAGTTTTTTTTTCTATTATGTTGGATTGTGTTGGACAAGTCACGGATTTTGCCGACGGCTTTTTCGCTGACTGAGCCAGGTAATGCGCACGCATTAAAAAAGCAGACAACAGAGATGCTAACAATAAAGGTGGAGAAGAAAATGTCGAAAAAAGAGGAAAAAGTTGAGCTGTGAAGACTTCCACACGGCAGGGGGGATCTCATGAACACGGCTTTGATATATCGTTTCTGGCCGGTGATGGAATCAGTGTTCGTGCATATGACCCGTGATTTGCTTGGTTTCTGAAGCGACAGATACGCGCGCGCTGGGCTGTGGGGATCGCATGCTGGGCACTGGATTTCTAAACACCGGGAATCATTGTTGTTTTAAACTGTCAAGCCTATAGCAACATTCGTTTGTTGGGGACCTGTGTGCCTTCTCTCTTCTACCCCTGACCACAAAATCGTAAATCCGCATCTCCCGTGTTGCTCTCCCCGCGAATATCGAACACGTAACCGGAGAGGTCTTAACATTTCAAGATTTGAGATGCCTTTTTCTTTTTTTTTTTTCTTTTTTTTGTTTAGGAAGTGATTACTTTGACATTCGGGTTCGAAGTAATTGTAAAACTATTTTGAACACATCTTTCGTCACATACGAAAGATATGTCCATAGTTATTTGCTATTTCGACGTCTATCATCACACTAAAGCACTCTTACGGCGTTTGACGTCAGGATAACTGAACATAGTTCTTTTTTTCATTTCTGTGACATCATTTTCAAATGTTGGAATAATTGTTTAAATTTGCTCACGCCTCGTCAAATGAGCTTCCTTGTTATTTTGAAGCGCTTGTTCTTCGAAGAACGTGAAGACAGTTTGCCTTGGCGCAGCATGGCATGTAAAGGTAGTCATTTTTCCATTCGCCATGGCCTAGCACTGGACACAGTAGAGATCTACCGGCTTCAGACATCGACCTGCTTTCCGACACGATCAGTTCTCCAATCGACTTCAATCTCTATGACCCAATTTTCTTAAAATGATTGAGCAAGTAACCCACTATATTACAATTCTAACTGATTAACACATCGCGTAATTTCAACTAAAAATAAATGATATAGACAAACAACATAAAGTGAAACGCATTATAGCATAAGTATTTCTGGCTGTTCCCTGCTTTTAAGTAAGCCAACGGCCCTAATTAACCCTCTATAGCTTGCACCGGTCATGACGTTTTAAGGAGACAATGCTCGCATTCATTTGCAACACTCTATTGGACGCCAAGTGGCATAATCTGGGCTCATTTACCCTCCGATGATATTTGAGCTTCTTCCCATGTAGTGTTATTTACCTCTTTAGTGATTCGGTGAACTCAGTGAATAAAAGCTAAAGCATAAAATAGTAGTGCATCATAATTTTAAGAGAACATGAGAGAACCCGGGACAAAGTTACCCAAGGAAGTATTTGCGATTACAAATACTGAGATACATTAAAGGGAAGGCTAAACGCGAGATGGGGGGGGGGGGGGGGGGCTGAGGTACATTTGTATTTTATATCTCGGGAATTTGAGAGACAATTCCGTAGAAATGGCATAAATAAGTCCTAGAACAGAGATACTGGAACACAGATATTAAGTTCTAGAAGTCCAAAATATTTCGCCAGGCACTATCCATTATTTAACACTGAAATACATATACATTGTGGCAAATAGTATCTGTTTATTTGTCTCCAATGGCTATGTAGTACTGTACTTGTATTCTCCAAAATAATTCAAATAGGTCAAACAGACAGTAACAGTCACACGCAGTCCATTAATAGCAATATCATTATAAACAGAGGAGATAAAAATAAGGCTCGATGGACCTCTTGACGCGTTGGACCTCTTGAAGCGTTGGACCTCTTGACTCGATGGACCTCTTGACGCGTTGGACCTCCTGACACAAATTGGACCTTTTGACTCGTTGGACCTCTTGACACGTTGGACCTCTTGACTCGAATTGGACCTTTTGACTCGTTGGACCTCTTGGCTCGGCTGTCACGTGGCTATTGGACCTCTTGACTCGTTGGACCTTTTGACTCGTTGGACCTCTTGACCATAAGCGGTCGATACGCTACCACCCGCGACACCCATTCCGCACGAAAAAGTAAAACTGAGTATAATTTGCGCGCGTTGGGCGCTTCGGCGGTAAGGTTAGCAGTTGCCGTGAATCAGGGCTTATAGTTTCCTTTGCAGCAACCGCGTAGTGGCCACGACCTTGAACGTTTTCCTCTTTTGGGCGCGACGTCTTTGCTTGCAGAAATAAAGGAGGAAACGCGAGCTTCTCAGTGCAGGCCTGTCGCACGTTTCTTTGTGTACAAAGTTCCAATCTGAGATCATAAAAAAAAAAAAAAAGTATTCTTTCGCGACACAAAGAGAAAGTTTATGGGTGACTGGAAAACTTTTTGTTTGCTTTTCGCCACTTTTACAAACTTCCTTGTCGTAAATAACAACAACAACGGAACTGTCGCGGGGTGTTCTACCTACACAGCCCGCACGTCTTTCAAAAGTATGTCGCGCTTCGATAAAATAAAGATAATTTATTTTCTCGTTACGATCGCCTTTTTCATAACGTGCGCGCGTTTCTGTAAAAAAATGATCTTCGAGAAAAGGAAAAAAGGCACCTAATGACAGAGCAATAGAATATTAGAGACCAGACTTTCTCAAGCTCTGCCATTACGAACGTACAGTTACGCAATTACCTCGATAATCGTTTTTTCTTCCTTTTCGAGCGCTGTAGCCCTAATGATTTCGGATATGAATTAAGAATGGTGTCAATGCTGCCTGCGTTGTAATGCAGCCGGCGTTGTAAAAGACCAAAAACTAAAAAAGAAAGAAAAAAAAACATAAAATATATAGAATTTATACACTTGGACTGGAGAGCATGCTGGTAAGGCCTGCTGCCAGTTGGGAAATCGCCTTCTCCGTCCTTGAGTTTTGTGTTCTTCTCATTATGTTATACAGAATGTCATCTAGTTTTCCGGTAAACATGAGGCTAGTTGAAGAACCGCCCGCAACACTGAGACACATCAGTACAACAACATTTGGAAGAGAAGTTAGGGGTTGGTCCATTGTATACCTTGCAGCGCACTTGCGCTGTGGGAATCTATGTATCTACTTATTTAAAGCACTTAGCGCACTATGAATGTCAGAGCGAGCTCTGTTTGAATGAGTGAGTGCACATCTATACACCTTTCCACCAGTCGAAAAAAAAAAAAGCCGAGTCACTGGGCTCTAGCAATACCACTTAGAAGACAAGGCTGCTCATGACGTCATAGTTGGATGGATGGATGGATGAATGGATACGGCTGAACCCTTTTAATCGGGCAGCGGCTTGCGCCACCTAACCAAACTTTCTAAAACTTACAATTGACGAATATCGGATTAAATTTTGATTTAATGCAGAAGGGCAAAGCATCTCCTATCGCCGCTAAGCACAGGCGTTCATCTAGCATTCTCCCCAACAGAATGTTACAATCCGCGTGACTGTTTTGCGTCTTCGCAACCCGGTAGAATTGCACTTTTCGCTCTAGGGATTGAAAGGAAAAGAATAGCGAATCTTTATTCTTCCGTCGAATTATGCCACCAGTCGGATAACCTGTGTTTTGTTATCTCCGCTTTGTTAACGCCTACTGTTTTCGTCGCTGCCTTTAAAGGGATGCTGAACTACTATTTGAATTTCGCAAAATAAGGCCGCAGAAACGTTGAACGGGACGCTACGAACACCAAAACATCACTCATACAGCGATATCTGAAACGAATGGCCGTATGTTTTGAAAAGAATGGCGTGATCAAGTGAGGAATGTGACGTCACGATTTTCCTGGAAGAGTTGAGAATGAGGGGAAGCGTCCTCGCTTCCCTCTTCCTCGCTTCGGTTCACCTGCTCGAGGGAACGAAGCGGAGAGGAGAGGGAATGAGAATCTCGATGTAAGATGTCTCGTTGGCCTTATTCAATCGTGCATTTCTTTTCCAAAAATACGACCGTCCGTTAGACATATCGCTGTATGAGTGATGTTTTGGAGTTTTGCAGCGTCCCGCCTATCGCGCCAGCCTTGTTCTGTGAGCTCCAAATTTCGGTTCAGCATCCATTTAAAGCCCGAAGCCTGTACTAAATCGGTCTTGAGCAACTGCAGGGTAAAGCGCTCTACAGTGAATTATTAAGCTTTCAGCCGTCTCTTTTTCCTCCCCACATAATCCTCACACTGTATCTCTGTCTCGATATTTCGCCCTGCACTCCCCAGTTCGCAACACGCCTGTCCTGGCCTCAAAAGAACAACGATTTTCCCTAGAATTGTCATAGATGCTTTCCTTAGCAACCTCCATCTTATTTTTGTCGGGGCGTCGCCTCGTACATAGCGTCGCGTACACAGCGTACATAGACGCTAGCACACCGCTGTGAAGGCACCGCAGCAGAGAGTTAACTGCGCATGAAGCGCCCCATGGCTAATCAAAATGGCGCTTGTCTGTCTGCTTCAGAACCTTATCCTGGAGCCCGGCAACGAGGTCTACGCTCACTGGCAGGAGGTGCCCATACCTATCTACATCAAGTACTACTTCTTCAACGTGACCAATCCGAACGAAGTGCTCGAGCAGACGGAGAAACCGCGCCTCGAAGAACTCGGTCCCTACACGTTCCGGTACGTATATCGTATTTCTCCAGCGCTTATCATCCGGGCGAGGGAATGCAGAATCACTAGGTTGTGAACATATGCGCGCGGCTTCTAGTATTTCGCAGAGGAGAGCTGCCGCCATAGCCTCCTCCATACTCACAAAGCCTGGCAGTTCGATGACGGAGCCATAGAGTGCCCGGTCGCAGATTTGGAACGCGAGGATCTGGTAGCACAGAGCATTTATCGGGGAAGCTGGTAGTGAGCGCACAGCTTTTGCAGTGGTGAGGACGCGCGAGGAACGCGAGGAGCACGAGCGGACCTCGCTCGAGAGAAGTGTGTTTCGGCGTATCGCCGCAGCGGGGCGCCGCTTACATGACTCTCCTCTCATCCGTTGTCTGCCGCTCTACCTTTTCACTTTCGGCGGCCGCGTCTCGTGGCGATCTGCCGGGCTTTGTAGGTATAGAAGAGGCTATGCTACTGCGTACGTTCGGAACCCGTTCCACAGTTAGGTAAGCAAAGATGGCAGCGCGCGAAGGGGGCGAGTATTGGAAAGGTCTTTAGCAGGGTTGCGCGAATAGTGGTTGGAAGGATGGGAAAAATACTTAAAAAAAATGTATCTTAGAAACAAATGTAAAATACTTCGACAGAATGTATTCGATTAGAAATTCTGTCACACTTTTAAGAAGAAAAGTAGTTAAATACAAGATACAAATATAACGAGCGTATTTGATCGTCCTCAAATACTTTTTCGAATACATTAATTGATGTCATAGACTGACATCTTAGACTTAATTTTAACCCAAGTAAACACAAACCATGCTCAAGCGGGACAATGACGCTGTCACTATAGAATTTAAAATGCAACACTACAACAAGTAAAAGAACACAAATTTCTTGTCGTTTGGTTTCATGAAGAGCTCACGTCGAACGCACGTGTCAGTCACATCAAAACGCAACTATCCAGAGCTGTTGGGTGCATGTACAGTATCAATCCTTGTTCTATCCCCACCTTTCATATGGACTTTTAGTCTGGGGCACCACAACAAAGGGTAACTATCATCAACTATCGGTGCTAGAGAATAAAGTTCTACGTATGCATACTGGCTACCATTGAAACATACAGGACTTTCACTGTGAGCCATATTAAGTAATACACAATATGCTGAAAGCGGACCGGGTTTATTATTTAACATTAGCAAAATTTGTTCATAAAAATAAGGTCTACGTAGAGTTCAGTAAAACTCGGGACGATAAACCGTACTCTTTTCGGCATACGAAAAGACCAATGCCTAGGATTCGAACGAATCATGGCATGCAAAAATGTCACTACCAAATAACCGGTCTTCTTGATATCTTGGAAGGAATTCAGTTATTCGGACTGTTTTCTCAAATTTAAAACCAATGTCAAACATGTTCTCATAAGCAAAAAACATGGCCTTTAAAAATTAATAGGTATGCAATCAGGCATTATGTCAACTGATTGCAAACAATTCCTGTGAATCCTCTCGTTACGTTGCCGGATGTGCTGTTACGAACACATGTAAGGGATTATTGCCTGTATTGTTCGCTACGTAGAGAATGCTTCTATATTTGTTATGTAAACTTTTAAGATTTTTTTTTGTTTTTTTTTTGTTTTAGGATGGTGTAATCCTTCTAGTATGTGCGCGCTTTTTTGTGATGTTTGCTAATGCAATGAATTAGTAGTTAACTTTTTTTTTTTCTGATAGCATAAGTGTGTCCAGCTATCCCAACTATCAATATAGTACTTTGCTGTATTTTAAAGTGTTCATTTCCGTGGTGTTTATTCTTGCTTTTTTTTTAAATTTTGCTTCAATGCTGCAGAACTGTAATGGGTGGATAGGGCTCGTCATGCAGTAATGCCTTTTTCCTCTTCCGCCCTGCCGGCCACGGCCTGCAAAATCAATAATGAATGAATGAATGAATGAATGAATGAAATAAAGAGAGGAGCTTATATACACTAAGAATCAAATGTTCAGAAAGAATGTTGGAGATCTAAAGATAAAATTTGTTTGGCGGAACTTCATAGCCGGATACAAAATACAGAAAAATCAATGTATTCAGCGTTAGATTAATTTAAAAGGCTGAGTCGTTGCATTAAAGGCTTTTCAAAGAACATGTCGTTAATTCGACGTGTTAAAAAATCAAATCACCAAACCAAAAAGGCAATAATTGTACTCGTCCCGTTTATTCCTTGTTCTACTTTTCCTTTCTTTTTTTTATTTTCAATGTTTATTCTGCACGAGGCGCAGCAAGTTTCATGCTCTTTGCATATGACTCCCTTCGCGAAGAGAGCCAGCCCACTATCACATTTGGCGGCGAAGATCAGTGCCCAAAATTGTATTTGGGACTGTAACCCAAAATAAATTAGGGCTGGGCATCGATTAAAAATTTTAACCCGATTAATCGCCACCCTTTAATCGATTAATTAATCGATTAATCGGCTCCGTTGATTTTTATAAATAATGAATAATGCAACATCTCGTCTTGCCTTTGAAGACTTATTTTACTCCCTGTTACACGGCGCAAATTATATTTAGAATTGAGGATACATATATTCAACAATTCAAAGACTCAACTATTTTTGCCCCAGCTCCAAAGACAAAGAATTTTGTCCACATTCTCCGACAGGAAGACAAGAAGCCAGGGCTTGGCCGATGCTTTCTTCTTTTTTCAGAGAAAGGGACCTCGATGAGAAGGCGTTGGTTGTTCTATGCGTTTTAACCGGATGATTCTTGCTGCAGCGGCGTACATGGGTGCTTCGCTCGTAGGTGATACTATAGCGAACTTACGCTTCCACTTTACGAAAACGGCTTTTTGCAGATAATGCAGTGGACTTCCGTGGAGTTAAAAACTTCACCGCTGGAGGTTACTTTAAACCCAAACTTTCCAGCGAGATTGTCTTTCATACTCGTGAACTCGTCCATTTTTACGGGCCGAAAACTGGAACAAGTAACCATGGCGTTGTTAGCTTCCCAGCTTGTTTTTCTGGATGTTTGTCTTGCCTGGGCAGGATGTGTAATAGATCCTCAAGACGTGAAGTATCGCGGTTGCGCGGGGATCGATTGCGGGCCCAGCTTGTTCGTCTGGCCAGTCTGGCTTCGGCAGAACTGTAACGTACATCCTCGAACACGTGACGCTCCGCAAGCGCGAGAATTGAACCTTGCTCATAGCACCTGGCTGAGAACAGAACACCGCTCGGGACAGAACGACCAGATACGCGCCACGCAACGTTTTTCTTAAGTGTGTGTTATAGTGTGTGTGTGTGTGTGTGGGGGGGGGGGGGGGGGGTTGCATGGGTCACAACTAGTTTGGGCAGGTCATCCGGGATAGAGCCATGCGTGCCTCCGGTTGAATTCTTTTTGAGTACCGATTAAAAAACCGATTAACCGGTTAAAATATTTGATCGCGATTAACGTCTTAATCGATTAATCGGAAGGTTAATCGATCAATTGCCCAGCCCTAAAATAAATGTATTTGAAATACTCAATTTTATGTAATGCAGTGGTCTAATGCATTCTTTAATACGCAAATAAATAAACACGAAATACAAAATACTCAAAGTATTTCTAAATGCGTATTTCGAATAGTTCTTGTGTTCGACTTACCTGAGTGGTTGGAACCGAAGAGCTCTGGCGACGCATTCACTGCCTTCACTAAGGATGCCTGTACAGCGGTGAAGCCAGGGATGACGCTGCTCTAGTCGAATCGAAGAAGTGTTCGCACACGCCCGATCTTTAGCCTGCACACTCTATTCGGAGCGCAAGTTCGCCTGCTTTTTTTTTTTTTTTTTGCATACGGGATGCAATGACGTCAGAAGGCCGGGCTCTGATTGGAACAAAAGCGGGTAGACAGACATCAATGCTAGCTTCCTTGAGGTCTAGCCACCATCCTTCCAATCAGAGCCAATCAAAGATCGGCGTTCCGACGGCATCATCGCGACACCCGCTGAAAAGCGTTTATTTTGGCTTTCGGCGGGTTCAAGCCCCGCATGACAGCTGATCACCATGCAGTTATACACCAAAAGCGGGGCTGCGTTTCTTCGGTAACTGTATACGTTAAAATGTGATAGCATTTCGAGGTTTGTTCTATGAAGATCACGTTCCGCTTGACCTCTCTACCGCGGGTAACTAAGCATCAAATATGCCTACATTGTGACTCGATGTACCAGAACGAGAAGCGATCACACAATCTGCAGGTGACACCGAACAGATGCCTGACGAAGTACTCTTAGAAGTGCAGATTGTACCCCTCCCCCTTTCCACCCTCTCTCCTGCCCCAAAATTAACGTTTTTTTTCCTTAATCGCTAAAATAAACTCGGCACTGCGAACGCTCAGTTTCCCCCCTAAACGGTAGCACTAGTGGTCCGAACCAAAGGCAAGAGTTACACAGCGAACTGTTATCACATTTAAAACTTATGACCTATATTCAAAAATTTTCAATAGGAAAATGGGTGGGGCCGACAAAGTCCACGATTGCATGGGGCTAATTGGCGCAAACCACCGAGGACGGGCGCCATCCCACTGAAGGATTCAGAAAATCACTCGGAAAGTTTTAAGAAGATAACGCTTAGCTGTGAAACTTTGAAATCTGGTTCCCACCGCTAGTACTACATGTTGGGCGATGCGTACCTTATTTTCGCAGTAAAAACAAGCACTCTTTTTTTTTTTTTTTTTAGGGAAACGTTGTACGTGTTGACCAGCGCAAACCACCGCAAATCGATGCTCTGTTACTTGTAGTAGTGTGTTCTCGAAACATCTCGTTTTTCTTCTCTGGAATGACTGCGATGACCAATGGCGTTCCGGCTGGAGCAAAGACGTGAAAAAGGAGAACGAAGAGTGGTTGCCGGTATCTGGGACGATTGGGATCTCGGGTGACAATGCGTCGCAAGTCATGCGTACTGTGACTGCCAACGCATCGGCGTCGGTTATTTGCGGTATGAGTGTCGGTATGTAAAAGATTAGCAGTCTAAAAATATAATATGCTGCGTATGACGAGTTTGTCAGGTTTGAGATCAGTGCCGCACATTTTGTTGTACCGGTCAAAGAAAAAGAAACCCATGGTTTTGGACAATTTAAGAAACGCAGGCCGTAGCTTATGTTCACGCTCTTAAACACAAAATATGTATTAATGTCCAACGTGCTTCCCCCCTCTCACCCCCCACAAAAAAAAAAAAAAGTGAACGAAAAAAAAAAAAAAGAAAACAACAACGAGAGGTGCGTTTGCGGTTATGTTTGCAATTTTGCTGTTTATTTGACATACTGCATCACGGATCTCCCACGATTCCGGTAATCTCACACAACGTGGTTCTCCCGGTGGAGAATCGTAACGTCGCACGACTCCTGCAACAGGAGCTTAGTATAGCTCTACTAAAAAGGCGCCCAGAGTAGTGGCACTCCGTTCCCCGACTTTTTGTACGGGCGTCGTCGCCATTTTGATGCTTAGTGCAAAGCGTCTCTTCTTGGCGATTTTTTAGTATTCGAAAGCGCGACTTCCTGGGCGTTAGATGCGGTGTCGGGATGCTTGGGCGAAGTCGTGTTGCTCTGTCGCGGACTGTTTTGACATTTCTGGTGGACGGAAAAGCGTTTCCTGCCGCGATCTCAGGTCAAGCTTGGGATGGCCGACTGCAATGGTGTTCAGCACCAGTATGGCTGAGGGGTCGTTACTGTGAAGCGTAGCCTATCTCGGCGCGTTCGAATCCGTGTATGTGCATCTTCTGAAGTTTGGAAATGCGAAAGAATTACGGGTCACGTAACTGCTTCGTCGTCTGTCTTTCTTTTACCGGTGCAGGGAAACCCGAGAAAAGGTGAACATCACGTGGCACCCCAACGGCACGGTGTCCTACCGCCAGATCAAGAAGTACTACCTCCAGTCGGACATGACCAGAGGCTCACTGGACGACCAGGTCGTCACGCTCAACATGCCCATGGTTGTGAGTACCACACTTGGCTTGCATCGACATGACGTCGGCTGCCGTTTGTGGTGGCCTTTTTTGCTGAGCGCCCAGCTTTTGCGGCATACATGTGACACCATGAAATTTGGTTTTCTCGGCAAGGACGTGTCGGAATGTCCTCCATCATGGTACGAAAACGTCACGTGCAAGCCATGTCTTCGCTGCATTCTCTCGTTGTTCTCTTTCTCTCTCTCTCTCTATCTTTTTTTTATTTTTCTCTCCAGCCGATTGAATTCTTTCTGCAACAATATAAGTAACCCCGTTCCTCATTCCTTACCATTTCTGGGTCGAGTTTTCGTTACAGGTTGTACTGGATCAAAAGGAACGTGTTACAGCAAAGGTTTCAAAGGCCTGACGTACCGTTACGTTGGCGTTACAATGACCGTCGTTCCCACTCGAACCTGGAACCGTATTTTAATAAGAAACAAAAAATTGCCTTCAAGAGAAAGAAAACCATATTGTATCTTTCGTGATGTTCTTTTTTTTTTTTTTTACTGAAATCAATGTTATTGACACCCACAACGTCAGTTCTCGGTTTCACGAATGTTAGGCGTAGGTGGGCGTCGGTTCACCAAAATATCTCGTCCTTTTTTCAAATTTCTTTAAAGTTAAAGGCATATTTGGCTGATCCGTTTTCGAGCGCTCTAATCCTCTGAATCGGATCTGCGGAATCCGGGAGCTCTTGCAACTCCGATCTAAAGGAACGCCGCGCCAGCTTGGAGTGCTCGGCAATTTTTCCGAACGGCCCGTCGAGTGACGTCACGCCTCTCAGGATTTCGTATTATATATTGTGGGGAACGGAAAAAGACGAGAATAAAGGGGACCGACAACCGGGTGACGAGTGGGCACGCGGGGCAGTCGGAGCTTGAACACCGCGATGATTGGTGTTCGTTTTCTTGTCTCCACATTTGGCGCCCAACGTGGGGCCACCGCTAACTCCACATTCACACGGGGTTTCAGCTTTCTGCGTCGCGTATAGTTTATTCATTCGGGTCGAGCAAAACTGCGACTCATTTCTCTCTCACGGACCCGCGGCGTATACGTCGCGCGGCGTACAAACTATGCGCCGTTCACTCGCCTCTTTTTGCACAAGAATGTGGCATATAAGGCTGGCTTCCACGAGATGTACACGTGACGTTACAATAGAACAGTGCAAAAAAAACCGTGACGCGGCCTCTAAATCTGGCGGGGAAACCTTGGCCCGCCCCATGTAGCCTAATGGAAGCTCTGTCTGAGATCAATTAGAGAAGCGATTCTATAAGCCGCTGTCACACTGTGCTCGTACAACACATAAGCATGTACGGTGTTCGCTGCAGACATCATGACAGAAGTATGTGCGGACGCGCGTTAAACGGCTATGCCCTTTGTAACGGGCGGTAGCTTGCGCCACCTAGCCTATGTCTAAGGAAGAAGCACGTTCAGCGTGTGCAGACTGTCTTTCTGTATGATGTAGTATTAGCGGTGTGGCCGTGGCTTTAGGAGTCAGGTAACAGACAACATGCGGACGATCTGGTGAACGTTCCTCATCTTGAAAACCTGAGACCGCGAAGGACGAAAAGCGGTTTTCAAAAGAATGAATGAAATACATTTAAATTTCTTTTTTTCTTTCTTCAAATAATACAACGCCTTTTTTTCTTTTTTTTTTTCGAAGACTCGAAAAGAAAGGAGGGGGCAGGGCTGCGGGTGAAACCGGTAACGTCCTTGGGCAGTGCCGCTGGGGAAACCTTGTATGACAGCGGTCGCTCGCTACACCAATAATGCTTTGTCGCCAGCATCCTCGATTGCTCTGGGGAAGGGCAGGGCGCCTCTGTACATGCGAGGGCCAAAGAGGAAAAATCGCCCGATACGGAGGCTCGTGGAGTCGAGTCAAGGCCAACTTGTGGCTCTCTGGGTGACGAGCTGCGCTCGTACAAGCCAAAGAATAAAAAAATAAATAAAAGGAGCCATTTACTTTGTGCCTCATGGATCATCAAAATAAATGGCTCTCGGTACAATTCTAAATTCGTCCTACAAACCTCCATCTTTATATAAAAAAAAAACAAGCAAAAAAATTAGATATAGGAACACGGAAAATACACGAAATCGACACGAGACACAGATAAAGATGAAACCTCTTAGGAGTAATCACTTTTTTCTTTCATCTTTAATTTGTTTCTGTTTGAAGGGCGAAGTTCCAGCCATGCTAGTTTTCGTTTTTGTTTTCCAAGTTCCATTTCAGTTTTCCTGCAAGACGCCGACTCGAAAGCGCTAATTGCGACAGTGTGCGCGCGTGCGTGTGTGTTGTAATGACTTTATCATAAAGTAGGGGCCTGGCGTACACTTTCGAAACGCTTTTTTTAAGTGGCCCGGTAATCCTGTAGATAGCGGCGTTTTCGGAACTCCCAAAGCTAGGTCGAAGGTTTGCGCAGCGGCGAGTCGCGCGATGGTTATACCATACAGAAAGTGAGGGGGAGGAGGATACCATAGCGCGCGGGGGAACGCCCGAGCTTCGTTTGGAAGGCTTAGTGGGTAGACGGGAAGGCTAGCTGCCCTCGTCCTCTCCCTCCAATCAAAACGGCCGAGAGCTTCGCCTGCCCATCGCGCGGCGTCTCGCGTTCGAAACCTCCGGACGCCACGGCGTACGGCGCACGAACGGATTCGAACAGTGAGTATAGATAAAAGGTATCTACACAGCCTTTTCGTCTACCGACTATCCTTCCAATCAGAACCCGGCATTCTGACATCACCGCACGTTTGCGTTTCCTCCTCTCTTTCTCTTCCCTTCCTTATATGTCGTGCCGGTATGTCGTCGAGCCTGGGCGAGCCCCGTTTTCGACAACTAAAGTGCCTTTCACGAGACGGACGTTTGCGAGTACAGCCGCTGGGCGCCGCCATCTTGCTCGTAGTGTGGGGTAGATCGTCTGATATTCAAGCATTGCTGAGGCGTACCCACGGCCTCAGCAACGCTCGACTATCAGACGATCTACCCACACCGGCAGAGGCCGTACTCAGAGCCGTATATGTAGAGAGTTTGGCCATTCGTTGGGATGTATAGGAGACAAATGAGGAGGCGCCATTGGCCGAAAGCGGGCTGGGCGTGCTCCGGGGCGTCTTCAGAAATTCAAATGTAACCAACCCGAAGCCGGAAATAATACCCTGGCGGTGGTCGCGAGAAACAAACCTGATAAGTGCATCGGAGTAACCCTCGGTGACGGAAAATATGGTACATGTGATGTTTCAATCACGCTCATTCGAAATGATTGTGGAAGAGTGGGACTAGCGGAACGATCGACATAATCCTTACGTCAAGCGCCGAGGGCCGGGAATCTGCCGTCCGAGCGGTCACACTCTGTCCGAGGAAAACAGAGCTGAGCCGCGCATTCGTTTCATACATGTTTCTGCATGATCATGAGCGAAACATCACGTGTACCCTATTTTCAAACACAAAGAGTTACTACACTTCACTCTTACGCGCTTATTAAAACCATATACGAACATATACCTTTGATCAGAAGTGTTTCTCGCTACCACCGCTAGGGGATTCTTTTCGGCTTCTGGTTGGTCAAGAGAGCATGCCAAGCCCGCTTTCCGAGTCTCGTGCACGCCCTGACTCTGCCCGCGCCTCCCATTGACCAAACTCTCTACATATACGGCTCTGGCCGTACTTGCAAACCTCTATACCAAGTGTATACGAGCTCGGCCGAACGCTGCAATCCAATGGAGCCAATCGGGTAGAGTCAAAAAGTCCCACCTTCGTAGCACTCGTCGTCTCTGCGCGTTCTTATCATTGGCTAGACCAATCACGCACGAAAAAGCGCGTTGTCATGGGGGGATCACTGCGCGTGATCGGTACGTAGCCCCAAACTCAAAAACAAAACGAGCGACGTGACGATGCACTTTTGGCGGCGGTTGATTAACTTCGTCGGATCGCATACAGCGTCGACCGCGGTTGGACACGGAGAGAAACGGAGTATGAAGCTCGGCACGTCTCCTGTCACCACGCGCACTTTGCTGTAGAGGGTAAAGTGCGCGTGGCTGTATGCCGCAAAAGAGATGATATAAGCGGGACGCAATTTCGTCTGCTTCTTTCGGCGGGGGTTGTGGCGACGTCAGAACGCCGAGCTCTAAATGGCTCTGATTGAAGGATAGTCGGTATACCTCAAGGCAGCTTGCTTTGAGGTCTGCCCACTATCCTTCGAGCAGAGCCAATCAGAGCTGGCGTTCTGACGTCACCACAACCCCTGCCGAAAGAAGCAGACGAAATTGCGCCCTCCATATACCGTCTCTTTCGCAGCAAAGCCGCGGCGACACTGCTAATACATCATACAAAAGACAGTCTGCAAACACTATCTTATGCGTGATGCCTGTTCTTTCCTTGCGTGACGGTCCCATCATATTAGTTAGTCACATGAAAACTGTCTGCATACGTGTAGAACCATACATAAGTACGAAGCGAGCATGCTTCGAAAATACTTGAGGCGTTGTCCGCGGATAAATCAGTAATTATGTCTGTAGAGAAACTCCGTGCGTCTTTTATGATGTATGCGCAGTATAGGACTGCGACTTAACAATCACAGGTGAAGATTCGCCGCCCAAAATTCCCCAAGGAAGGACGTCAACACGCTACAGCTGGTTTCTCTGACGTCACGGGCCCCCTTTTCTTTTTTCAAGATTGGCGCCCGCAAAAAGAAAGCGGAGCCCTGATTTTCTCTGGGCGGATCCTCTCTTCCAGTTATTACGCTTGAACGGATTACGCTGGCCGACAACTTTTAAGAAATGCAGTGCGTGGCGTATATATATTACCGCTGTGGCCCGTATTCCGTCTCCTGGCCAACCGTCTGACTTGCAAGTGTTCACTTACTTTCAAACATCCCCGGGCCTTTTCTACAAATCCTCTGACCTCTTTATTGTAAATATGATATACCCAGTGATGTGATTGCTGCGCCAATTGCGCCAAACTGCGCCAAGGGGCTAACCCTGCTACATCCTGCTACATTTCGCCAAAATATGAGTAATCTGCGCCAAGCCTGCGCCAAAGGACCAATTTAGGTTGCCTTTCACAACCGAAACTAAACTGAGTACTGTAATTGAGCAGACGTGTGTTATGTGGCGCAAGCGGCCACTTGACACAAAGTACCGTGCATCAATTGTCCACCCGGTCTTTCATGGATTTCCCTGCGTCTCGCGTTTCGCGCTCTCTCTTGTGGGTCTCGTTTCTCGTCTCTTTTTTTTTTATATTTTCAGCGATAGACGCGGATGTGTGCAAGCGCTCCAACGCTAGCGTTCCGGGTACCAGCTATGCCGTCATGTTGTGAAACGAAACCACGTTTTTGCGCGGCAGAAGTTACTTTGTGAGCTGAAGCAACGGCCGTGGGAAAACTATATTGGGTCACTGCCTTTCAGTCACCGTGGTCGCGCGACGTCGAATGTTGCCGTCCCACATCACTGCAGATATGCTACTTCCTAAAATGAAACGAAGTACCGCCGCATGTTCACCAACATTCCTGTTCTTGTTTAAATCATACGTTACTACAAAAATACATCTTTAATTCAAAGACTGCTCTGTCAAAGTACTGATTATCTAGATTCCTCTCGGTGGGTCTTCTTTCGAAAAGTACCTCGGTACGTGAAAGATCTGCCGCGAAATAAAGTTGAAGAGAAGTGAGCTAAGACAAAGAAGGCAATGTATGCATGCTGAACCCGCACAGCACGCTTGTTTGTCTCGAGTTCAGTCGTTGCACAAAGCGCTCCAAGAACGTTTCGAGGCTGGCTCGCAATGTCTTGCATCGATGCACTCAGGTTCTTTATTTTTTGTGTGTTTAGCTTGTACCTTGTTTGCCGGCCTGCTGGCAAGCACGCGCCACTAGACTGTTTAAAGGGATACTGAACCAAAGAATTTAGTGCCCACAATAAGTAGCGCACGTTCTTTCCACGAGCTAGCAACCACCGGTGTGCGCGAGCACATGCAACGAAAATGATGTCAAAGACCTCCATTCGCGGGTAAGATGACAGTGAAATGCATGTGCTTCGGGCTAAAGGAGAATAAAGACAAGCTTTTCATCTCTACAAGTGAAAGCTACGGGCTTGTTAGACCAATTAATCGCTTACCTTTTACACCAGACACCACTGTGTAGATGAAAAACTTGTCTTTAATCTCCTCTGGCCCGAAGCGCATACATTTCACTGTCCCCTTAAGAGCGAATGGAGGTCTTTGACGTCATTTTTGTTGCGTGTGCCCGCGCACACCGGCGGCTGCTGGCTCGTGGAAAGAACGTGCGCCACTTATTACGGACACTAAATTCCTTGGTTCAGTATCCCTTTAAGTCGCATGCTCGAAAGTTACATTTTGTGTACAATTTTGGGGATAAGTTAGCGACCAAGCTGAGGGCATGGTTTCGGTTTCGATCGGACAGCCGTTGTCTGCGCTCGCGCGACGAAGCATGCCCAACAGCAAGCCTGCCGAAGTTGGCCTCACGTGCATGCGAACATGATTGCGTGACTGCGGCACCAGCTGGGACGCTTGCAATTCATTGTTTTACGTTTGCTTACTTTTGACGAAAATCTGGCACGTCGGGAAGCAGTAAAACGGTGGCAAGCGGTTTTTCGAAATTGCTTGGCAATGCCTACAGCACTATACACTTGTGGGATGTCTCAGGAGTAAAAACACAAGCAGCGAGTTCCGTCACAACACGTCACATCAGAACACAACACAACACAAAGTGCCCTTCGTTTGTACAGCACTTAAAACGAATATTTTTATTTTCCTAAAAATATCTGCTCCAAAAGCCGCTTTTGCTGCTCAAAACACTGTTTTGGTTGCTCCAAAACGTGCGCCAAAATGGCTTAGGCCAATCACATCACTGTATACCTAAAACTAAATACAACCCCCCCCCCCCCCCCTAAAAAACAGTTTTAAAAAAAATTCAACTACGCGTTGCCGCACGGCCGGTCTCCTCGCAAATGTAGCACTTTCGGTTTCGGATCCAGGTTCCAAGGCTTCAAAGGTTGCCGTGATCTGGTTCAATACTTAGAAGCGATTTCCGGAAACTTTCAATGGAAACATAGCAATCCGGCGATGCCCTCGAATGCGTGCATTTGAATGGCGTCAGTATACCTTCTCATTGAAAGTCTCCGAAAATCGCTTATGACTTTTGAATGAGATTACGCTTAGTTCGGAAACTTTGGCATCTGGTCGGCACCCCCGGCGCTGCATTTGACCGGAAAAAATGCGTTAAAAAGCAGAGCTTTTTTTTTTTTATGTGAAAGAAACACTAAAGATAGATGTATCGGGTACACGTTTTACAGCCAAAACACCGTTGCCTCGTATACGTAAATTCCCGCGTTTCGGCGCCTTATATTAGTGACGACATAAGACCACGGGGAAAAGGGCATTTGACCAAGAAGCCGTAGAAGGCTGCTCTGCCAAATGCAAATGAGCTTACCTGTATCCTTTCCCCGTAGGTTTCTGGTGTGCGCAAGTTGTGTATTCGGTCGACACGCGCGTTTGTTTATAGGTCTATGGACCTATAAACAAACGCGCGCCGTTGGCTGAATACACAACTTGCGCACGCCGCGAAGGCCACAGCGCTTGTGTTACGGGTGTCACGCAAAGCTCGCATTACGATGGCATAATGCGTCGGGCATTACGACGATTAGTCATCCCCGCTGCGTTGTTCCTGGTTGGCTGGTAGTTACTAAAGGAAATTTTGCTGACAGCGTGTAATTTTTTTTTTCCTTCAGCCAAACATTCACGTTGAAAGTCTATGCAATTAGCAGAGAGGAGATACCCGTAAAAGCAAAGATACGTTGGGTGCAGCTGTGAAAAACAAGGACAAATTTCTCATCTTCGCGTTCGTTATTTTTTTTCCCCCTTCGTTGAAAAGGGGTTGAGGTAATGGGTTGTGTTTAGAAATAGGCACATGGGCTGACTGGTTAAATTCAAAATCAGGGTAATTCTATGGTTTAACGGTAATCACTGTCAAGGGTTTGTGTGCCGCCCCCGTCCCATACGCCACACCTTGCACCACAGCAAACGAAACACGTAACACGTAAGGCGAAGCATGGTAGGAATTAAGGACTCGAAACGTCGGCGGTCATTTTGAGGCTGACAGGAGGCTCCTTCAGGTACCACTAGGGTGCCTACATGTTTCCGCTCGGCGGAAACATGTAGGCACCCTGGGTACCACTGCAACTCCGCTCAGCGCACGAATAATGCTCGAGAGTTCCTTTGTTTTCTTAATGTGACACCGAGTATAGTCCACATGAGTATGATAGTCATCCAGCGTGGCAAACATAGATATCGATAACAATATGTGCACACTGACCTGTCTTTTTTTTAACAAATGAGTTTGTTCTTTAGAGCTGGAACCACCTGTGCGTGTTCAGAAACCTTGTTTTCAAATAGCCAAGCGTCGCCGTGACGACAGAGACATCAGCCGTTATGTTTATCGGACCATTTCTTAGTATAGGAGTGTGTGAAGAGTGGGTCGTTTCGAATTTTTCAGTGTCATCCCTAGCGTGTCTTTTCCTTGAGTCGCAGTCGCACGGCTATAATACATTATACAAAGGGCAGTACGCAGGCATGCTCGGAGCTCTGCTATGTGCTCCGAAGATGCCCGAAGGTGCTCCGAACATGCTCCGAAGATGCCCGAGGCGCCTACCGCATTTCTGTCATCGTGTATGCACTTAACACCGTGTCCTTTGTGCGATGTGTGACAAGTGTAACTTGCAGCTTTACACCGCGAAGGTCACGTATATCGGAGAGCCGAAGCATCTGCGCATGCGTGCCTCGTCGGCATGACGTCAGAGCTTTAGCCGGATGTTTATTGGACCGCTTTCTCTCCCACAGTCGGCCGCGCACACTGTCCGCTTCGACACGGAGGAGTTCGAGTTCTTCAAGGAGGCTGTCTCGGAGATCTTTGTGGCGAAAAACAGCACTTTCTTCGTTCGACGGACCATGAGAGAGCTGCTCTTCGATGGCTACGACGAGCCCATCTTGACTGCGGCAAAGTCCCTGGGCATCGAGGTGCCTTCGACTAAGTTCGGCTGGCTGCTCGGCGTGAGTCGGAGGGACCTTTTTTCTAGGATTGCCTATGCGCGTACCTACTGGCAACGATGAAAAAGGTGACGTGAGCGGAAGGCAGGGGCTGACTCTTTGGACTGTGGACATTGTTCCCAACTGATTGCAGGCCGTTTTCGTGGTGTCGAATAAGTGCTTTGGAAGCTCGCTCCAGCACCGGCGCAGCAGCACCAAACAAATGCTCGGCATAGTCCATTTTGTGATTGCCTGCTCGGCCTGCAAGCCTGCCTGCCACTCACGTCACGGCACTGAAAAGCGCGGGTATATTTGAATGTCGGTTTCGGCATAATTTTCGCTTGCCGATTTCACGATATCTGTCCTGAATTTTGCGATACTAAATAGCATACCCGAAAGAAGAAAGGCCGGTAATTCCCAAATTGTAGCTAATTGGAGTGGCTAATAAAAAAAAAAAAAGGTCCGAGGACATTTAAGCACTTCTTATGAGTTGTGAATGCGAAAACATGAATGTTGTTCTTCCGCTTCCTTAGTTTGTCTGCGGCGTACTGGCGTGGATGGTCACGTTTCGCTACTGCCGAGGTTGCGGCCGACGGCCGAGCGCGCGCTCTCGTGAAGTGGCCGCGCCGCGCTGAGCTTAGCCGTGCGGCCTCTCCGGAGTCTGCCCGGGCGGGCTGTGCGGCCAGCCTCGCACCTCTTACCGGCGGCCGGACCGCTGCGCCGCCACGGAGAGGGCTTCTCTGGTGGCATTTTTTGAACTACGCCGCGCGAAAGCCAATGGGAGCCTTGATGACGCGCGCCAGCCAATCGGAGCTTATCCTTCAGATTGCGGCTTCACTTCGCTCCATTGGGACAGGAGAGTTTAGGTGCCGTTTGGCGCGGCTTCAACGCTGATGACGTCGGTTCGCTCCATGGGTCTAGTTAATGCTTTCGCATTAAAACCGCCGGTGTACGCTTTAACAAGCGCAGAACCAATGCTTGCCTAAGCCAGTTTGCTGGTAAATGTGGGTATTCCCTCCGGCGGTTAAAATAGCTTCAAGAGAGATTTTAAAGTGACGTTACCGGCTTCGCGTTTAGAGAAAGTCCCTAGCGTCCCACCCGTTTCTGCTCGGCAGACGTAATACTTGCCGTTGATTTTTTTTTAATTTCGCTCTTAACACGATTTTTTTACAGAAATATTTTTACATGCCACTCCTGCACTACAGGAGTGTGATTCATTTCACTTAAATCTCATGCCTGTTCACCCTCTTTCTGCGCACAAAATCACATTTTAATTATCGAAGCTTGGACGGACTTGTGGCAGCTATTTTTTTCTGGAACGCTAGGTATCTTTAGTTTCTTATCCCCACGGAACCGGTCGCGTGACCTCAAAATACCCCTTGCGGCTATTTCAACCTCCGGGCAAGGTACCCGCATTCACCAGCAAACTGGGCCTAGGGTTTTTAACGTGCATCACGCAGTAGTAAGTCGTGACACACGACCGAGTGCCGGTACAATGCTTATCCAGATCAAAACGGACAGAGGTGGCGTTTGAGCCCTAAATCTCAGGGTTCTGTAACGCGATCTTTTGCTCCACGTGCTCCGAGCTACGTGAAGGTATCGGAGGTCAGTAACAGTTCGGAGCCGGAAGTAGCCTCGCGTTCCGATTGCAACACGTCGTAATTTTGCTCCGTTTTCGTTTGCAATACAAGTACAGTGACGTAATAACATGTAAAGGCGTTGCAAAAAGCCATAAAACGTGCTTCGTAGTTTGCCGAGAGGGGGTTGCGAAAAATTCTGGGAAAATCCCACTGTTTTATGCCGTCCGTCCACCCGAAAAGGGGACAGACCTGTCACAAAACGTGCAGCGCCCTACGAGGCACCGAAAAGTATTCTGGGATATGGTCGTGTAGAACCGGCTGTAGCAGACGACAGAGGCGACCTTGGGAGGGACGAAGGCAACGCAGGCACAAGAGGGGTGCAAGGTCAACTTTTTTAGGCTTAGCAAATTGAAAACAGCAGCACGGCAAGAGCACGCGTGCAGCTTGCAAACGAAGGATTGCTGAAACGACCCTGTGGCGTACGGCGTACGGCGACGTACTTTGCGATGGGACGGTTAAGCCACTGTCGCACTCATACAAAACAGAAGACACTGTTCCCTGCAAACACGAGGAAATAGTTTATGTTCGCTTCAACAGTGGCATGCTTTGAACATGTCTCAGTCAGTTTTTGTATGCCCAATGTGACGGGTTCAGGATCCGTCATATAAGCAAGAAACAGACCTCAGACGGAGTCAGCAGACTGTCTTTCGTATGATGTACCTGTGTGACCGCAGCTTTAGCGCGCCACAAAATTGGGCAGTGCAGACATCTCCTAACACATGGCATGGCAGCTTGCAGATGCAGCTAGTGGATAGAGTCTCGCTCAACTAATACAGCCTTGACGGAGGCCCGCAGGCGACATCCGTGGCACATCCATTTCGTTTTAACGTGTACGCACATCCGTCTTCCATCTTGGACTCGTACATCTGCGCTCTTCTGGCAGTCCTTTATTAGTATTGACAGCTTAGCCTTGAAGCGCTTGGGCAAGACGAAACCGACATCGGCGTGCGGTTCGTTCGAGCGTGCTTGCATGGTGCCATAGATTGCTATAACAAGTGTCCATCAATGGGGGCTGATCTTGTGCTGATGGAAGCGAGCCTGACCCTGCATCCGAGCACTTGCAAGTGCGGCGGCTGCTTTGATTCGCTTCAAGCGTGTTGTGCTGCTGTCGCCACATCGCTGCGAGAAGATACCCGTGTTACGTCTCGCGGTCGCGTTGGCGTCGTGCTAGCTTTGGTTTCCGCCCATCTTCGTCAGTTTAGTCAAACGTTCGCCAAGGTTGTTCCTTTTTTTTTGTGCTAGATATGCTTGCTTTATTTATGCCAAGCAATCGATAAACCCGCGAGGAGTAAGAAAAGATATGCCGCAAATTTTAATTGGGACAATTTTGCCTAGATTCGTGATTTACCTGGATTTGTCCTAACCCCATCGCGCGGACACGCGAGCATCGCGGGGGAAAGAAGTTTTTTTTTCCGTGTGCTTGTGAGAAACTTGTACAGTGTGTTAACAAACAATTAAGGTTATTTCAGGGTTTATATTAACATTAAGTGTTTATTCATACGTCTCGTATGCTCTGACATCTTGATCATGTACGGTTTATGCTAGGACATTAACAAAAATCATTTTTTTTTCTCCAAGATGACCCGATAACCTTTGTTTCTGTGGTATTGCTTTCCCTAGTGATCACGTAACACCTTTAGCAATAATTTGTTTCTGTTCATATTGTTCATGAGATTGTTTCCTACCGCACAAGGAAGTGGAAGTAGCATTTATTATTTTCTTACACGTTCAAAGAACACTGCACTTCCAAGAACATTAGCCGCAGATATCACAGAAGCCGTTTTCTGCTCCAAAAAAGCTAATGAACTGAATATTAATGGCGCGCGCTACGCAATTTAGATGGAACCGTGGTTATAAGCCATCCTCCTCTCCAGATTTTTTTTTTCTACTTTAAGTTTTTTAGTGCTCTCAGCCACTCAGCGTGCGGAGGGCGGAGCGCGGAGGCCAGCCAGTGGGAAATTAACAAAATTACTTATATTTTGACGTCACTTTGACGATCGCTCCCCAATAGAGCTCCAGAGCTCCCAAATAGAGTACCCGAGCTCCCGAATAGAGCTCGAGCAGACGAAATCACTCCTAGCTTAAAATACTTGTCGCGACATGAACGTTGCATCAAATACTCATTGTTTACTCTGTTTTCTGGGGAGAGTGTGTTTTGCGGCATACTATATGTATGCAAAAAGCAAAAAAAAAAAGAGATGATTTTTTATTGTTTGGGGGAGGGGGGCAGTGTGCTTTTAAATGTTTTCGTTAGTATTTTTAATGATGTACCCATATCATGCCTGGTATACTATTTTTGGAGACTACCAAAATAAATTATTATTATTGTTATCATACTTGATTTTCATATAAAACTTTTTTCTTTCTAAAACGTGACCAATAACATTTAAACAATGTCAAGTCCTATAACATGTTTCTTTGGTATTTTTACATAATGCAGAAAAATGGCACAGATGATGGGGAATACACCATCTTCACCGGGTCGAAAGGCATGCATAACTATGGTGAAATGGACAAGTACAATGGCCTAAGGTGAGTAGAACATCTGCCAGTTTATGTGATGCGTGAAAAGGGATGCGTTAATTATGATGCACATCCAGCATTAACTTTGTTTTTTACTGTTTTATTCTAGTGAAATGAATGCTTTCCATGGCTACTGCAACATGATAAATGGAACAGGTAAAAACTTTCAACTGCTTTGCGTGTGCAGTGAAGTTTTATCATGAAATGTTCCTTTGCGCAGAATGTTAAGAATAGGCTTGCTTTTTACCGAACTGCTTGCCTTCTTGTACACACCGTAGCTTACACACTTCTGGATGCCCACCTTTTAATCTTCTCTAATAAGTAAATATTTTGTTCTACATAAAAAAAATAAACAAAGGAGTAATATCTTAGACTTAATTTTTGCTTCTCTGAAATTACCGGCTTCAAGGCAGGAAGTTTTCTCTTTAGTACCTAGCAAGCTACATTTTGTTTTAATATTTCTTTGGAAAACCCCTTTGCACAGATAGGGGATGAGCCCGAACTATAACATCTCATCTAATGTAAACGGACTTTTCTTTCCAGTTGGCGACATGTGGCCACCGCTTGCCTTGGAAAACTGGGGAAATGTGACTCTTTTTATCAGGGACTTTTGCCGGTGAGTTGAACGCTACCAATCTATTAAACCGAGTCCCAAAGCATATTGAGAGTGAGTAATATAAATAAAAATTTGAACATGAAAAGCTGCACTTTTCCTCTCGAAATTAACTTGAAGTCCATATTAAACTCCCACCCATCGTGAAAAGATAACTGGTGAAAAATATCGGGTGGGCGATCATTGCAGACCGCAGACACAGTGAAGTTTACGTTCCGTGGTCCCTTCAACGCGTGGGAATATTGCTACGGATTCACATATCACGGAAACTAATACCGCAGATCTCGGACGCAGCAAATTCGCGTTTCAGAATGGGATAAGCGCGTCGGAACCCGCTACGAACTCGCATATTACTGAAACCGATAGGGAGTTTCAGTATATCGTTCTGATAACTCCGATAACAATACCGGATACCCCACCAGCGCTTTCGCGCATGCCTCCTATCGTTATTGAGTATCTTTATCGGAGTTATCGGAACAATTTACTAAAACTTTAGATCATCGCGCGTGCAGATTGCGAACACGAAAAACTCAAGTTCCATAGTGCAGTAAACACGTGGGAATCCGCTACGAACTCACTAGTCAGCTATACCACAAATCGCGCGGTTGACTTCATTCCCGTTGGACGTCGCGTAAGGTGCGACGGGAATCGGGGAGTCGGCTGCGAGTCATAATTAAAATGTTTTTATTATTTTTATTGTCAGCGTCACGTGACAGTGTGACATCGTCGAAGTTTAACCTATATATTTTTTTGCCAGAAAAACGGGATGAGCGATCTCTCGGGGGAGGTCGTTAATTTAGGTAGTTGTTAGCAAAAAGATGCTCAGTTTTCCTACTGTAATCATGTAGAGATTGATTGACTGAGTCACTCACCCATTCTGTTGTTACAGGTCAATCCGTCTTTCTTACCTCGGTGACGTAGAGACCCGAGGGGTAAAGCTGCGACGGTACTGGGGCGAGGGACGGCTCTTCGATTACGCCGAGAAGGATAACCGGTGCTTCTGCACCGGTGCCTGCTTCCCCAGCGGCGTTCTCAACATCTCCGCCTGCCAACAGGGTAAGCTTCATCTTGTGTCCGTCCTTGACCTGTAGACATGACACAATGTGTAATGTTACCATTTAGTGTCATTGGAAATTTGAAATAAATTGGCTGAACAGCTAAAAGCAGACCTTGCACTTCGCCTTTTTCTGGCTTCCTCCTTCCCATGCCCTCTGCCTCCTTCACATTCCCATCCATGGTGGGTTTCCTTTATTCCTCGGCATTTCCTCATCCTTTTTTTCCTTAGTTGTTTTGCCACCTTCCCAGTTTGGGAAAGGAGGAAATTCTGCCTTGTTGAAGATGGAAATTTCATGTAAGCCTTTAAGGCGTTTCTAATGATAGTTTACTTCAAGCTGTTACGTGTCAATAGCTGGTGGAAAATCTGTTTTTGTGCATTCATAAATTGAAACAACATATTAATTGGCCCGTATGAATAAGCTGGTTTCTTGAAAGGAAACAAAGAGGAATAATGGGTATAAAGGCCAGGGAGGGTGTTAAGACAACTAAGAGGGAAAAAAGTAATTATAGTAAGTGATCATTGCTGCTTTTTCTCGGATTTCCTTTTTTTCCCCTTTCTAGCGTCATGTCATCATCATGTCAGTAATAATTATTTCATGTACAGTTGGCCTCAGACCATATCATCAGTGATGAAGTCACTGCCTACATCACACTGCATTGGATAGGCAGATTGTTTTCTCACATAAATGACTAAACTTGGACAGCTGTTAAGACGTTTTCAAACACTTGCTGTCAGCTACTGTTAATACCAAGACAAAGCACATAAGTTGTGATCACATCTTGAATCATTTGTGTTTTTATGATCACTTATACCATGCAAATCTTTAAGCTGCAGTAAAGCTATATTTACGTTGCTCTGTTTTGTTATTCTTTTGCTATCAACTGCTGTAGGATGAATTTTTGTATTGGCCATACTATTTTTTTTGTGAATTTCTTACATGCTGCAACTCTCACTGAGACTAAGCATGAATAAAGATTAGTTTCTACTTGCCTTATCTTGTAATTTGCATTTGCTGTCCTTGTGCTTGCTACAAGCGGGTCAAACGTTACAAACTTTCTTGCAAATAAGACCGTCCATTTCCCTGGCTTCTTGTCACACCTTCAATCCCTCGAAATCTTGTCATCCGTCCAACGCGGATTAATTTCTTTCATGCTGTGCACCTCCTGTTTTTTCAGGCGCCCCAGTTGCGGTCTCTTTTCCGCATTTCCTGTATGGGGACCCTTCCTATCAGCAGGCTGTAGAGGGCATAGCACCAGACCCCAAGAGACACCAGATGTATCTAGACATAGAACCAGTAAGTGTGTCTAATAATGTTTGAGATATTGATCAGATCTTCACTTGGTCGAACCCGGGCTTAAACATTCACTCTCCAAAAACACCTGCTAGAAGTTTTCTGAAGTGAGGTGAATAAAAAAATTATTTGCCCATATCAGTAGCTATATTAGACTGCTAAAATACCTGCAGCAAAATTACAAGCTCATAACAGCTTTACAGTAAAGAAGAGCCCTAGAAGCTCAAAAACACGCGATTCTGATGTAAGGAAGATAAAAGTTTAAAGTCTGAAGTCTATTTGCTTTCTCAAGGGCCAGGCCTGGTAGGGAGGTAGAGACAAAAGGCATTTCTGCCTGACTGGGCCTCTACCCCCCACAGTTAATACCAGCACAACTTGCATTAGTTGCCATGTATACGTAAAGAAAGTAAACAACATATATATATCTGCATAGCAGTAAACATGCGCACTTTTTACACAATATCGTAGAAATTATTTAACGAACACAAACATGGATTGATCTGTCCTCAGATGAATATAATATTACAAGAAATAAAACAATTAAAACGTTTTAAAATTCTATACTTAGGTAGATAATGCCACACAAGGATAACTATAATTCATACGACATTGATTCGTAATCACTGACGTATAATTACTAAATGATCAAAGCAGCAAAAATTCACAAAAGATATGTACACAAAAGGTTACACCAATGTAACAAACACATTTGTCATTGCAACACTGATAGGCGCATGACGAAACAATTTCTACTACGTGTAATATATCTCGTTGTGTACAAGGGTGTGTCTGATGTTACTTTTATATTTAATAAATGATACTGTAAAATCAGTACGCCCTTCAAAAATGTTTAGTACTGTAGGAACCTGATAATTTAGTTTTTGTTTTCCATAATTTGTCCTGACGTCATGTGTCTCGTGTTTGGCGTTTCTAAGGAGATAAGGTTGCAATGGCACTTCATCCATTTGATTTTTTTTGTATGTTGTCTGCATAAGTTTAAAGTAATAAATCTGGTTTGCTTTAGGCATGTTATGTTTTGTAAAATATAGACTGCTATAAAAATCGCGAACATTTCCTTTGATAGTCTTCTAAAATGTGCAAAGCCTTTTTCTGGAGAATAATTAATTTGCTATAATTTGTGGGAGTGGTTGACCCCTATGCCATAATTCCATAACAAAGATTTGAGTAAAACAAAGAGTAATATAAGTTTTTGATTAGACACTTTGGAAATAAACTTGTTATTTTATATATGCAGCCTACTGATCTCGATTAAACCAGGTGCCAGGACACTTTTGTTCTATATCCTGTGATAAGGGGGTGATACTTTATTGCAGATATATTACACTATTGTCGTCCTTATTGATAGATCCAAATATAATGTACTTTGTTTTGTCCACATTTAGTTTAAGTGTGTTTCTTTCCAGCCAATCTGAACGCTTCTGAAGATAATCATTTGCCTGTTCTTCTAAGGACGGTTTTGTATTGTTGCAGAAGAAAACATTGGTATCGTAAGCGTACATCACCCTATGTGTGGAATCGGGATGTCTGTTACATCCTTTATATATATATGAGAAAAAGTAGCGGGTCCAGTTTGGAGCCCTGGGGCACTCCCATGTTTTATTTCTAATTGCTAAAAAGCGGCGTTATTGACATGTACAAACTGTTTACGACTCCGGAGATAGGATTTGATTAGGTCAGACGCTACGCCACGTACACCACAGGTCTGAAGTTTTGATAGTAAAATAATGTGTTGTATTGAATCAAAGGCCTTGCTCAAATCTAGAAATAACCCGAGTGTTTATAGTTTATTTTCAACGTTGTTTATAATTCTGTTCTTTATATTCGTAAGCGCAAGTTCAGTCGATGTGTTCTTTTGAAAACCATATTGGGACCGAATGATTACGTTGTATTTTGAAAAAAAAAAAAGTAACACTTTTGCAATCTAATGTTTATCACGCTTTCAAATATTTTTGCGATTATTGGCAAAACAGATATTGGTCGGTATTTTTCTAGGTCATTTTTGTTTCCCGCTTTATGCACCGCACTAACCCTTGCGCTTTTGAGTTCGTCTGGATATATCCCTGTTTGCATTGTGTTGTTTATAATATCTGCCAGGACTTGGCTTATTATATTTGACACCATTTTAACTGGCAAGAGTTTTATTTCGTCAGCCCCAGTCACCACCCTTGTTTTTATATTTGTTTATCTCATTAGTAACTTCGCTTGGGGAAGTAGGCTGGAGCGTTATAGAGCTTGAGATGTTTGTAGTTTTATTTTGTGGTACTGATTTTGCTGCCAGTTTCCCTTATCGTTTATAAAATGCTCATTCAGGATATTTGCAAGTTCCTCACCAGCTATATTTCTACCACTTATAGTTATGGTATGCACACAACACCGGACATAGTCTTTATTTGATAAGCTATTAACCGTGTCCCACAGTTTCTTTGGGTTATTGTAATTGCCATCAAATTTACTCAAAAAGTATTCAGAATTTGCCGTTTTAAGGTCGGAAGTTTTATTCTACTTCTCTTGTATAGGTCGTCATCCACCCATGGCTTACAGAGTTTAGGTTTCGACTTTTTTCCTTGTAATATAGGGAATGCACAATCATATAATTTCTTAAATTACTTAAAAACTTGCTATAAGCAGTGTCCACGCTTTCTTCTGAGTAAATGTCTGTACAATCAAATCTCTCAACGAGTGCATGAAATATGCTAAGTGTTGTTTCGTTTATTTTTCGGTAGCAGTAAACAACTGGGTCGATTTTTTTGCCTTGTTTTGGACGGCGGCTTAGGCAGAAAATGGGTAGGTGGTCACTAATGTCCTGTGTGCAAATTCCAGGCTGCAATTCAGTTTGGTTAATGTTTATTATACATACATCTATTGATGTGGCACTCTCACTTGTTATTTTGGTTGGTAGTGATATAACGTTTTTTTCAAGATCCATCAACAGTTTATGTTGTGACCTTTAAAACTATACACAACCACACTTTTTTTTTTCAGAAAATGGGGATCACTGTGAACGCAGCTGCCAAGTTTCAAGTCAATGTGTTTTTTGAGAGGATAGCAGGCATTCCGTAAGTACAGATTCATTGCGTTGTTCTTCATTTTCATTTTGTGAATGTGGCAGATTTCTATGCTGCATACAAAACTTTAAATATTGCTTTCCTGTTCTTCATGCAGGCAGTTTGAAAACATCACGGAGCGGAGGTTCTATCCCATTTTCTGGTTTGAGAACGTAAGTTACCAATTTTTTGTTATGCTCTTGTCTTCCAATTTTTATTTGTTTAATATATAACATCAAATGATATCACTTCAAGCCAGTGACAGTTGAATTTTATAGTAGTGCATTTATTAACACTTCTCGTTGGGTGGTTTCATTTTAATGCGACCAAACTTGTCGGGTTGGGGTTCTATACCTTCGATAAAGAAAAGCTTCCTTAAAAAATTAGAACGAAACTGTTTCACAGAAATAGAACCTAGAATCCGAATTTCCAGAATATGGAATGTGTCAAAAACTCAATTTCATTTTTTCTCAACTTTGTACACCGTTTCAAGACACTTGGCTTTACTCAAAAGGATAATACATTTCTGCAATGCAGGGAATGTCACTTCAACTTTGTCCGGTTTATGTAAGCTTATAAACAAAATGAAATCTTTCTATGATTCAAACAGTTACAGTTTGTGTAAAAAAATTGTCAGTGTATTGTTAAAAGTGGAAAGCATAATTGCCCCACCACCAAAGATATATTTTTACACAGATAGGTACTGAGCTGCTTTATCAAATTATTGTCTGCTGTTTATTTGTAAATTACGCTTTTTTCATGCCACACTGTGCCCCAGCGATTGTTAGGATAAGGACACTCGCTTACCAGAGCTTGAAACATGATGTGTGGCTCGCCCCGCGCCCATACTGCAGGTGGCATTACTGTTAACATGATTGTTTTATTTTAAACCTCCGTAACGTCCCTCTGATGTTACAGGAGTTGCTATAGACATATCGAACAGAAAAAAAAACTCACTATTTTAAAACATTTATAGTCAATGAGGCTGCCAGTAGCATTGTGGTGAACCCAGCATAGTTGAACCAAGGATTGAGGGACAGGCCTAAACTTAGCTTATTTAACTCGTTGTTGTTCGAATACAACAAACATGTTACACCCAATACTTATGTCCAGTATTTCTTACATTATGGGCTATCAAGTAAAAAAGAAAAAAATCGAAAAATGCTTTTTTGGGAAAATCAATTTCAAATATTTCCAATGTTTTGGTTTTTAAATAAATAACTTTGTTTCGTAATGAGTATCAAGACAGAATTTATACCCATAAATAGCTTGTAATTATAGCTATGCACTGATATTTGTTTCATATCTTGATCTTGAACAGTTCTTTTACTGGAGCAATTCAAATTGGAGGCAAAATTGCCCCAGGTGCCAACTTCGTTATTTTATACGGAAATAACTATAAAACCTAAAAATTCCTGTTATTGACAAAAATGGTCCATAGCATTCCCTGCATTGTAAAAATATATTAGCCATCTAAGCCAACTGTCTTGAAGCCATGCTTAAATTTGAGAAATAATCAAATTGAGTTCTTGACACATTTCGTCTTCTGGTACTTCGGATTTTATTTCCGTGAAACTGTTTCGTTCTATTAAAAAAACAAACAAAAAAAAAAACCTTTTCTTCATTTCAGGGATGTAGCTACCGCATGTAATTAACCCCCCCCCCCCTTCCCCCCCTCCCGACAAGTTTTGTCGAATTCAAATGAAACCACCCCACTGAATTTTGGTCGTAATAAAAATATCAGGCCTCTTATTAAAAGGTGCAAAAATCACAAAATGCATGGACACAATCGAAATCTATGATTTGTTCGCGGGTTTCTCAAAATTTGTTTTATATCTCCCCAAGTTATGTTTTAAATGCATCCAGGTTGTTTCTAACATTCATTCATAATTAAAAACACTGAATCGGGTCACCTAATATTAAGGTTGACTAGAAAGTTAACTAAAAAGTAGCTACAATGTGAGGGACATTGTAGCTACTTGCAAGTTGTTTACATCTGCATCGAGAGGGCATACCAGCAACAGTCACCTGGTGCACTTTCAATATGTGAGGTTTGGAAGTCTTATAATTTTTTACTGAATTACCTAATACTTTGTGATATTAGTTTACCGGAAAGAAAAAACGATGCAACTTAGTCTTATTGGGAAAGCATTTTAAATATTCTAAAACGCTGTTTTTAGAACATGTTTTTGCTTGCTGAAGAATAGTATGAATTGTACTTAGCGCGAACTTTTGTGGAGCGAAAGCTCGCGCTGAAGAACACAGAGAACCTGGGTTCGATCCCCGCCCCGGCCCCTTTCGATCTGGATGAGCATCGTACCGGCGTGCAGTTGTGTATCAATCATTAGTGCGTGCTGCACGTTAAAGACCCCAGGCTAGGGGTAGTACTGCAGTGCCTAAATTTCTGATCTGGAGCTGAGACACCAGATGCCCACTGAAACTGACTAACTTCCGGTTGTATAAATATACACACAACATTATTATTACTATCCTGACAGTTTTCTAAAAAAACAATTACATTTGCCTCTTTCTTGTTTGAATGAAACATAAATTTGAGAACATAAAACGCCTCGGGCAGAAACTGGACCGTTTGGATATTTGGAGGAATATGATGAGTTGATAGAAACCTCTAAATAAACGTGCAATTAATTCAAACATCTTAAAGCATTTATTTGGCTCCGTAGCTGGCCAGTTTCACTTTGTTCGCACGGATCAACGTTACTAAAACACTCAGTTGGGAAACTCCCATAGAAACAGCTTTGAAAAAGTGGCCCCAAACTGTCTCCGAGCACCGAGCTAATGACGAACACGACGCCACCAATTCTCCCGCAGCGGCCACTCGAGGAACTGCACGTGACTTCTATTTTGGCTTTAAGAACAGATACAGCGGTAGAGGTTACAGGGGTAAGAAAAATTTAAGCGGTAGAGGTTACAGGGGACGCGGCGGACGCGCCGCGTCCCCTGTAACGTTTGTTTTTAATAAAGCGAAATAACGCAACTACTCGAAACCGAAACCGAAACCTCCGCACGGAGAGTGCTTGACGCTTGCGGAGAGTGCTTGACGCCCCGGCGGACGCGCCGCGTTCAACTACTGAAGTTAAAATGCACCTAGGGCGGGACGCGCTACCTGGAAGGCCCGCTGAGACAGGGTTGTATAAAAACAATATTAATTGTGCCGCAAAACCCTGCAAACTAAAGATTTTAAAAACATAACGCGCCCCTCTTTTTGTACTAAACTCCAATAAATTTCATACAAAAAGAGTCTTTTTCGTTTGTTTTTACGCAAAAACAGGCTTTCAAAACGCTCAAGGTGACCACAATACAGACAAATGATAAAGAGTGGCGCTGTTGTCGCATTTAGCTCGGTCTCGGTGGACGCCAGCGGCCCAGGTTTCGACGGCGAGTTTCCCAACTGAGTGTTCTAGTAACGTTGGCACGGATTCCAATAGTGAAGTGCAAGCTACCTAGCGTTTGAACCAATCAACCATTGCGTACGTGCAGAGATTGTGGTCACGTGGTGGAAGTCTAGCAGTCAACTTATCCATTTGGTATATAGCTTCCACTATGATCTTAAGGGCGAAGAATGCAAACACTTACTGACACTGTTCGACCTGAAAGCATTTAGTATTGGGGATTGTGTGGATATTTATACAGCGTGTAGTTGGTCAGCTATTTCAAAGTTGCGACGAGTCACTCTCTGTAGATGAGCAATTAAGCCAGTGCAGTACAACCGCTAGCCTGGGGTCTTTAACGTGCTCCGCGCAGTAGTGATACACGACCGCACGCCACCACGATGCTCTTCCAGATCGAAACGGGCAGGGGTGGGGATTAAGCCCAGGATCCCTGGGTTCTGCAGCGCGAGCTTTCGCTTCACGTGCTCCGAGCTGTTGTGCGCTAGCCCACTGGGTTACCGATCGCCCCAAAAAACATTTAGTAGTGCCAGCACAACTGTGATCTCGTGCATTGAACTTTCGTATTCATTTCAGTTGGCATCGGCGGACAAGGGCCTGCTATCCAAGGTCCGCCTAGTGACCGAAGAAATACCTCAGTATGTGACCGTGGCGTCCTTTGGAGCCGTCATCATCGGTGGCATAGTGCTCCTTGCGACACTCGTCTACGCGATTCGTTACACTAGGAGGCCTGTAAGTTCAACGACACTTGCTGCGAACTATCTATAACACACAGTTGTAAAAAAAAAAAAAAAAAGAAGTGTTATGCCATGATGTGTATTTATGTTCAGAGTCTGTCATTAGAGGTAGTGAGCTGTGCATTCTGCAGCTTGTCGAGAAAATTACGCTTGTCCCATAGGTGTCGCTGTACCAGTAGTTTTGTTTTGTTATTTATTTAGAACTTGTTTGTGTGGGTTTTAAAGAAGCACTAGAGCTTACTCGGGCTTTCCCACTCCCCTCTATAATGCCGATGGCCATGAGGGTATTTAAATAAATAAATAAATAAATTAAAGCAACTATTAAGGAGAAAATGCCCTGACCTTGCAAAATATTCATATTTGCATTGGGACTGTAAAACGTATGAACTTCAGATTTAAAAATATTATTTATTTATTTATTTATTGAAAGTACCCTCAGGGTCCGAAGGCATTACAGAGGGGAGGAGGAGGAGGAGGAGGAGGAGGAGGAGGAGGAGGAGCAGCAGCAGCAGCAGCAGCAGCAGCAGCAGCAGCAGCAGATGCATGAAACAAAGACAGTAAAATAGTTACAAATCAACAATATTAAATACACAACAAACACAGAAAAACAACAGGTCATGGGTCACTGCTAAAATAGTGATGGAATTTCTAAACAGGTTAGTATCAGTTAAAGTAGCAATTAACCCGGCGAGGTGGTTCCATTCTTCGGCTGTGCGGGGTAAAAAAAGAAGATTCAAATGTTGTGGTAAATGAACTCGGAACTCCAACTTTGTGTTGATAGTCAAGACGGGATGAACTGGGACTGAGATTGTGAAACTTTCGGCGTTACCTAACAAAATAAATGATTCCACAGATCTTTCGTAATTCTGCCAAAACCTCACTTCTAACCTGATTCTGTTCGGATGATGTTCCTTAAGGGGACACTGAACAGGGTTTTTATGTTTGCCGAGGTTTATAGTTGTACGCGACATATGAGAATCCAACAACCGAGAACAGAATTTGCGGTTCGAAATTCGGTTTCTTTCCGCCCGAAAACCGCCAATCGAGAACTGGCCGGTTTGAATCGCGCTCTCTTTTTTTTTTTTTTTGTGGTCACGGGCCGTTTTCTAAGGTTTAGTTAGATGCAACTACCAAATTTAATCAAAGTCGTGGGTCATTGAGGGCACACACTCAATATTAAGAATATAAAAATATATGAAACCCATTTTTCTGTGGCTTCTAAAAATCTGCAAATACGTTGATTGAAAAAAAAAGTTGCACAGAGAACCGGAAGCATATTGTACGTTCGCTGCGTAATTCTCAACTTGGCATCGTTTCGTGTATCGTGGGGCTCGCGGGCTGGACTGCGATGGCAGCGGACGACGGGCGTGGGACTCTCGTTCGCGGTACCGGCGAAATCTGTCTTCCTTTGAAAGAGAAATTTCGGACCGATGAAAAGAATTGGTATTCATCCCGTACGACACGCCCGACCACCAAGCCGATTTGCACGAAGAGGTCGCCGAGCCGTCGCCCCTTCTCGTGGGCGAAGACATTGCTCGCGCAAGCGTCAAGCACTCTCCGTGCGGAGGTTTCGGTTTCGGTTTCGAGTAGTTGCGTTATTTCGCTTTATTAAAAATATACGTGACTCTGTAGCAAAATATTAATTGGGTAGTTTTCCGACACCATAATGAATCGCCTGGCAAAAAATGAAGGAAAAAACGTTTTGGGGGGTGTCAGTGTCCCTTTAGCACTATCAGAACAGTGTCAGGTAATGTACCTTAAGTTTGCAAGCGGTCTTGTTTGTTTCTTGTGGTTGCAGTCACAAATGAAAACAGTCCTCTCGATTTTTTTTTTTAAAGTTTGTGCCTGTGGTACATTTATTAACACTTCTCACTTAAATTTTGTCGTCATAGGACTATCACGCTTCTGTATGAAAATGCACTTGGGGCTGCACTTCTACACCTTTAGCAAAAGCAATCTGTCTTTTTACATATCTTTGAATGTATCAGATATTCTACTCAATTACCCCGGTTTCCTTGTAGCCCAAGTAAGATTTGCTCATGGATACAGGATTGGTCGTATGAACGATAATTGTAAGTATGAAATTGTGGGCAGTTGCCAGCCATGCTGAGTCTCCTCTTCAAGACCGCTTTGCCATTACCAGTCCAGATGTGTCCCTTCCTTTCAGCATCACTTGTGCCGGCTTGTTTCTGACTTCACTTCCTTCCAGCTCTAACCTAGCAGCATATGTCGCTCAAGACCAGTGACAGTATAGCATGTGTGATCAAGAAAAATGTGCTTCCATGTTTTTTTTTTAATTCAATATTTTGTTATATATATAAAGACTAGTAGATACACTATTTTTTAAGTCAAGTTATTCCTTTTTATTGTTAATTTACACTCAGAGCGGCCACTTTCCACTCCCGAGGTATAGTCTAAACCGTAAGATGCGTTTTCCTCCAAATTACTCCTTTTTATTTAGAGACTTACTCCTAAAAAGGTGTTTCATAATACCTACATGGCAAAAAAGAACCATAGTTGTGTAGTCAACATATCGAGAGGCTTCTTTTTTTTACACACTTGTTATTTACATAATTTACAGAGAGATATTTACGAACGGGCCAGTCCCAGTTAATGTCTGAGGTAGACAAGCCGAGCCTGGTTTGCAGCTAGGCATGTTCTATGGGAGCTTGTATCGCGCATCCGCCGCTCCTGGTGCAAGGCTAATGTCTCCTTCGCTGTGCATGCGTTGGTACAGGTTGTTCTACCCGGCGTGTAGATGGTGTCGGCCCTCTTGTTCGCTACAAGGGCTATGGTGCTTTTTTGCCATGTAGATATTATTAAACACCTCTTTGGCAGTAAGTCCCTAAATGAAAAGGTGTCGTTTGAAGGAAAAAGCCTCTGACGGTTTAAACTATGTCTTAAAAGTTGTTAGTGGCCTCTCTGAGTGTAAGCTAACAATGAAAAGGAATAGATTGACTTCAAAGATGGTTTAAATTCTAGTATTTATACTGATCGCTCCCAACATGGAAAATTGTCCTTAATACGTAAACATACATATTAATCTGAGGTCTCTAAAAATAGCCTAAGAGTGCAGAGCCCCAAGGGCAGTGGCTAAAAAAACCTTTCCCTACCGAAAAATCCGGTATAACTTTCCCTATCCGGAATATGGAACCGGAAATTTGTTACTGGAAACCCGAAATCAAGATTGCAGACAAAGGAATAATTTCTGAAAACCTGAATTCCAGATAGAGTCCAGATAGAATCCAGATAGATGTCCGGTTCCATAATCCGGATATTGAAAAGCTATACCGGATTTTTCGGTAGGGTTATGAAGGATCTGCGAAGTTGTACAATGTACACTAGAAATCTGTTGCAGTCATATAAAAAGTCATGCTTGGAGGCTGCTAGCTGGAGCATTGTTGATATGTGTCACTGTGGGAATTATTTTATATGATGTCAGTTTTGTATATAGCGCTGTAATTTGCAAGCAGGAAACTCCACTTGCCACTCTTCTTCTCTATCTGGTTGCTTGGAATGGCAAGAGTTAATCTTTTCTTAGCCCTGCAAAAGTCTGCCATTTTCTCAGTCTTTGTGGTTCCGAGGCGATTTTAATTCATTTTTAAAATACTCAAAAGTCACTCAAAACACTCAAGCTTTTTTTTTACACATTTTCTTTTAACAGAAACCAGTACGACCAACATACATTCCTGTGACGGTGCTCAAGTAAACGCTGTGCCCAGTCCAGAAACTTTCTTCCACGGCCCTCGTCACCAACGATGCAAGGGTCCAGCTTTTATCGGTTGGATGGTGTTCTTCCGGGGCCCTGCAGTATTTCAAGTCCGGGTTGCAAACACTGTGGCACCCTCTGTGATTCACGCCGCCATTCCCTTAGACATCTTCAGCGGAGACAAGCCCCATGTGCTCAAATTTCGAAGGACATCGACATCGACGAACGTAGGACGAACTGCGGACTAGGAACCAAATGTTTGTGGTGCCCGCCATGACTGATCCCAAAACAATCTTGCGCCAACGTTCCTTGACTGTTCGCCGCCAAGTAATTGTGGACTCCTGTGCAAGGAACAGATCAACACATTTTGAGGAGTTCTTTTTTAATTTTTTGCCACATGTTTTGTTTAGAGAGGAATCGATGCGCGTTTGTTGTCATGATCCGTTAAAGACGTAGTCTTGAAGGTTTTTTTCGAAGATGGCCAACAATTGAAGATTGCAACGCGAATCACGTAGTATGACATGTACGGCAGAGGTTTGCTCATTTCGAGAGAGTCTTCCGACACCAAGCGCCTTGTGTAACCGTCCCTCGGACTCCGTGGCTAGTCCATGCAGCCTACGTGCCTTGTGGTATTTGTGCGCATGAGTGTGTGTGTTTGTCGTTGTGGCTCTATTTCAGTGTGCTACATTCCGTATTCGTGAATTTTGAGCCTCTTATTTTTTTTCACGAGGCCGTACGGGTATGGCCAAGCGTAAGACAAGGTCCTCTGGCGGCCGTGTGTGAGATTTATTATTATAGGAGTAACTGAATTTGGCGGGATGAGGAACAAAAGGTGCCAATTGTAACAAAGTATTTTTTTCTTCATTTCTGTGGGAAATTGAATTATTTCTTAAAGTAGTTGAAATGCGGCATATAACTAGGCGTTTCCGTGATAAACAAGATAAATGTCTTCTCACGTGCAATTCAATATTCAAACACCAATGCTAGAGACTCACGCTGACGCTGTTTAAGCATCTGCTGTAAGACCGAACCATTTTTAAAGGTTGCTCTACTCTGCTTGTTGTAAAAAAGGAACACAACGTCAAGGAATCAAGTCTCTTACAGGTCTCATTGGCAAAAATGCATCTAATATGGGCACTGTAATAGTTTCTTAATATATGTCCATTCGGTCAGGACTGGAATTGATACCGGCAGTGGGACGAGTGTTCGCACGCGATTATTCGTGCGGTACTCCACCTAATACGCGGTGCAATGCACCTATTTTTTTTGTGTGTGTGCGCTTTAAAGTATGCATATAATCTTTTTTTTTTTGCACTATCGTATAGTTTTTGTTTTGCATTTGTTTATATGATTCTCATGGTGGCCAGATCGTAACAGCATTGAAATGAGGCCTTTGATACATCCATTCAGTGAGACTAACATTTGTACGATCATGTACGGCAGAATGCGTGGACGCATATGGATGAATGGATGGATATGGCCGAGCTTTTGTAATCGTGCGGTGGTTTGCGCCACCTAGTAGATGCATCAAAAGAAGTTATTCTTGAGAAAGCACTTTAACTGATTCTCCAAACAGACTGCTCTTTCTTTCAGGTGGCATTGAGGAGCTAGGTGAACACGTTCTACTTTTGTTCACGATCGTGTCTTTAAGGACACTGACAAGTCCCGTGAACGTCTGTGACGTCAGGGAGTGGTATAGGTAGCTTCTATGCAATGTATATATACATCCCGGGACACATCTTAGTATGTGGCTAGGCGAGGAGCCATTTTAATATTCGAGACACTCGAGTTGCCCTTGGGTGAAGAGTTGGTAAGATATTCAACGTTTTAGAAGCTCCGAGCATTGACCTATAATGTGATATAGATTAGAGATACTCGTGGTCTGAGAAAGAAAAGTGAGAGGGCATTTTTTTTCGGTGTGTGTGTATGAGTCGTACTCCTTGGCGGCATTGTTTCACGGCGAGTATACTCAAAAAGCTAGTCCATTTCTCGGAGCAACCAATGGATAAGTGCCTTGATCGTCAGGCCTTATTGACTATCAGTATCATCGTCTCCCTGTTGTTTGAACCAGCGGCATGCCCGTGGTTTACTAGACCGACGCGCAACTCTGACGCCACGCTGCTGCGGTGGCGCTGCTGTAGGCACGACGCACGCGCAGCTTTTCTAGCCTCTTCGGCAGTTATATATCTAAGTGTATATTGACATTTCGCTTGTCCACAAACAACTGCGTAGGTTTAAAGATAAAAACGTCAAAAAATGCGACAAAGAAAGAAAGAACACACAAAGAAAGATAAAACATACCGTGGCTGTATATTCGAAATGAGTCAGTACATCTGGGCAGGTCTACTCCAGAAGTAATCTTCTCGATAGACATCCAGTGTCATCTGGCATGGCACTTGAGCCATGGCTGCATATAATTTGGATCTCGTAAGCAGGCGAAACAGTATACAAAGGCAGGCCAATAAAGCGGCAAATCGTATCCACTTTTTTTTTTTTCTTTTCAGAAGGTATACGTCAATAGTGTCACCATACATAACCCTAGGGGAAAATGAGCATCTTGAGAAACCATCTCCCTTTGAAACTTTTGAAAATAGTCATTCTTACAAGAGAGGCTGGCCGTTCGACATAAATATTTAAGTTGCAAATATAAGCAATTCAGTGTAGGGGGAACGTGAATGAAATTAATTCACCATGTAGTGATTTGAGTATATTTATAGTAAACCAGCTAGAAAACAGACATCAGACATGCTTTATTTTCTTTATAAAAGTGAAGTGTGCAAACATTAGTCCGCGAATCGAGAAATCGTATGAACGTCAAACATCATTAAGAGCGAACTTTGGGTCACAAATCTTCTTCCGAAACGGTGTTCACATTAATTTGACCAGTATAATTTTGTCTTCAACGCCTCTTTTGTAATAGTTGCCACATCGGCATATACATAGCTTTGCCGAGAGAAAGATTACTACCTCATGATCTGGGCGTCTGACACCAGTTAACAAGCCTTTGAATAACGCGTTCTTATGGAGCGAAACTGTGCCCTCTGCGTATGTGCGGAAATGTTGATTAAAATTCGCCATATGGCATTTAGGGATTAACTGAACATGATTGACCTCAATTCCACCTTTGAACTGTGGGGGTTGGTCACGTCGAATCCTGTACTTACAAATAGAATTTATACGATGTGTTCACTCTTTCAAGGTACCGCGATTTCCCTGGGAGTAGCGAACATCAATTCGCGCACCTCTGACCTGTAAGTTTCCCCCAAAACAGCGCCCGGAATGAGTGAGCCCTGACCAGCCTATTGAAGACGTCTGTGCTCAACTGTGTTACAAATACCCGTCTGCCCGAGTGAGACAGAAAACTTGTATCTTGGATATCTTATGAGCGTCATTAGGTCATCAGGCATTGCATCCACATAACCCGGTTGAAAAGTCGTCGAAACGACTTCATACCACTCGGACGAAAGCAGACAGCAATAATCACCTGGGGCTCTAAGGTGGACATTCGACAAGTCGGTGAGGTCGCCGACTTGTTTGTCGAGTGTCCAACTTTGAGACCCTGTACATAAGGCGTCCTTGCGAAACAGTTTTACGCTCCAAGACGATGAGCTATAATGTTTAATCATAGCTCGTAGCAATATAGGTTTTATACGAATTCATCTTCCATTATTTCATCGGCGATGATGCGAAATCGCAAACGTTGTTCATCTAAAGTGTTGCGTCCAGTATCATTATAAGTTAGACAATGCGAGTGTGTATGTGCGGCTGGCGAGTCCCACCGCAATTTTTATATAGAATTTATACCGAGTCTGGCGTGCCACGTTGACATTTTTTATGTGTGAATTTCCCACACGCTGTACACCTTTTTTTTTTTCTTTTTCGTACGCATGGTATTTTGTTGTGATACTGCGTTTTGATATCGAGTAAAAGTATACGCTCAAGTTTGTTGTGTGGTGCCTCGTATTCCATGGTTTGCGCCATTTTTGTTCTAAACCGAATTTGGCTGCTACGATGTGGCAACCTGGTTTCGGCCAACGGGTAGACGGTTTGGTTATGTAAAGACGTGAGCCGAAGCGCGTCTCTTCACCTACCTACTAACGCAAAACAACGAAAGTGACTTCGAGACGAAGATATACGTCCCCATTGAATACCTCACGACTTGACAAGCGGCAGGAAGAAAAAAAGAAGTCCGGTCCTTTGCTTTGTCTCCAAAATGAGCTGCGGCGGCAGCCGAAGTCCTGCGCACAATTGCCTTGCCTTGTTGAAAGTTAGCGACTTAGGTTCAACTAAATTTAGAGGACACTGTTTATGTTTATCGGACACTTACATCACGTTGACGCCATGACGTCAATTGATACTAAGTTACCGATTAATTTAGCGGGAAAATGGTGACGTCATGTGACACGACGTCACGCGACACTGTGATGTCACAATCAAGACATTGTGATTCTCCTCTAAAGATAGAGGAGGTATTTTCCCGCTACATTTAGCGGGTAACGATCGACGTATATGCGAAGAAACACCCGGAATCCGCTGAGAAAACTTCGCCAATAACGGTCATCGCCGTAACATAGAAATAAAGACCATTTTCTTTTTATGAGCGAGAGCCAAACCCTCGCGGCAGTGTTCAACATTTCGACACTATAATGGTTCAAAACGAACTAAAAGAAAAACAGCCTGTCCGTAAGTAGAAGGGAAACATTTTCTCACTCGGGGCCCTAAATGTGTTGCTGTCGGATAGTGAATGACCCCACACACTGTTTAACTAGTGCGGGAGGTCCAGGCTTTGTACTCGATCTCCTCTACCCCCCAAATCCACAGGACCACTGATCGTTCCGTAGAAACTGATATTCCGAAAGCAAATAACTTTGTCGAGCATCATGCCGCGGCCATAAACGGAAACCACATGTCGTGTCCAAGACGATATGCTATCCGGGCCGCAACGGACAGGTGATTTCATCAATACCGTACCGCACGCTCCCGTTTCGAGTTTGAGTAAACAGGCTGCTCATGTAGGTCAAAACGACTTTTACGACAAGATGGCCCAACGCATTATCTTGATTGCTACGCTATCCCATCTTGTGGATCGTTGTTCGATGTAATGCAGTCGGGGACTACACTTGGTCCTGAGACCTTGTCGGTTACGGTAAGCGCCACATCGCGAGCGTAGGAAACAGGAATGTACACCGACAAGGAAATAGAGGAAGAGCTTGTGACCTGCAGTTTGCTGAACAAGCATTTCGCCGAGCGATGCACTGCTCACGGATTCTCTCGGATAGCGTCCACGGGCGACAACAGCCTTCGACGACTCATCTGGATAATCATCGTGATCGTTGCGGTCGGCGGCTTTCTGTACCACATCAGCTTTCTGACGAGCAACTACTTCTCGTACCCCATCATGACGGCGACCGAAGAGGTGCACGCGGAGGAGCTGCACTTCCCAGCCATAACCGTGTGTAATCTGAACATCATGCGCAAGAGTTCCTTCGACGACTACCTCAAGGACGTGGCCGCCAAATCGGGGTTCCCGATCACTACTACTACAGAGCGTCCGTACGGAAGTCTCAAGACCAAGACAAAGGACCTCTTCTCGCCGACTACCAAGGGCTACAGCTACGACGATGATACTGAGGTGTGCTACAAGACCGTCGAGGAGTTTCTCAAGACGAGTCGCACCATGGACCTGAGCGACATGTGGATGAACTTCATCGCCACCAAGGAGCATCTGGTCAAGTTTGGTCACAAAGCCAACGATCTTGTTGTTCAGTGCACTTACAACGCTCGCAACTGCTTCGACGAAACGTACGTACCTCATTATGATTTCGCGTCACGGCAGATAGCAACAAATTATGCGTTTACATACATGGCCAGATGATCGCATACACGGGATTTTAAGAGAGTAATTAGTAACCTCGCTCAGATGATAAATTTGTAATTAAAGACCCCAATACTGACAAGTAGGTGGCATGTTGTATTTCACGCGTAAGTGTAAAGCCATTGTGGTGTATAATCTAACCTGAAGGGGAATGAAAAACCCGCATATAGTAAAAGTATGAACCCGAATTGCTCAGTCAAGATTTCAAGGTGTTGGAGGCCGTTATTGTTTTAGGAAACAGCTTGGGCCCATGTAGATGGCACCTAAAACATCTGCTCCAGAGAGCTGTAATGATTAAGTGGAAGGCGCGAGCGCGTTGGGTTTAAATAGACCTTTGTGGAAAAGCCCAGAAGACCTCGCGGCAATCCCAGATTGCAACTTGTGACGCCGGGAATCGCGAGGCTGTTTCGATGTACGCTAAGGCAGACTCTGACGCTTCGTATATTCTGGAAGCGGCACGATGTATTATCTCTTATCCATGTGAGTTCAGCACACACACACAAAAAAATACAACTAACGCAAAGCAAATTCGACACGTGCTTTGTTTTCTTGTCGTCCTGCTTTGCTTGCATTTTAAAATTATAAAGTGTAAAACCAGCATCGACTTCTTTCACTAGCCACCTGTACTAGTATTTCACGCGCCAAACATCAAATTGTCATAACGTACCGAGAATACGGCGATGTTGCCAGAAATGTCTGAAGGGTGCATTAGACGAGAAACACCGAACGTACACGACAAAGGTGGGGCGAAAGACGTCGTACGATTTGACCAAATGAAAGAAATTGTACGCCGTCCCTCGTTCCACCTGAGTGTTATTCATTCGATGTCCCTCAACTCAAACCTCAGTCTGCATTGTCTATTATACGTTACTGAACGTATAAACAACAAAAATGACACATTTCGAATTGCCTGTCCTTGTGTATCTATCGATACGACGTACGCTAACGTCGTTAATGATCATCGACTTTCACGACGCGCAGTCACTCCATTCTGCGGGTGGACCCGTATCCGTCTCCCCGGTACGGCCTCTGCCAGACCATCAGGTTGGCCAACGATTCCATGCGTAAGATACGCAAGACTGGACCTACACTCGGTGAGGAGCCTCAACAAAGAATAACTTTGGCTGATCCATTTTTATCTTACCGCCGTGTAGTGGTTTACAGCGTGGAATGGTTTCCTAAAACTAAGTGCACAGTTTCCGTGACCTCCTGGGTGAAGAATCAGAAATAGAGCAACGTTACTTTTGAGAGCCTCTGGACAGCTCACTGAGCCTGCTTGTAACCATTGGCGAGAATGTCGGACAATAGGGGGGCGCTTTGCCAAGCTTGTTTTTCACAACGCTCGGTGTTTACCGAGTAAAAGGCCAGTGGAGTAGATTCCTTACATCATCTTCGTCGATCGATGGTGGGGAATAGAGTGGGCGCGAGGGCTTCTACAGTGTTCGGCAGAAACTCTTTATTCTTTATTCAAGGAATACTCCGCATTGTCCGAAGGCGTTACAGCAGGAGTGTTACAGTTTTGTAAAAAAAAAAAAAAAAAAAAAAAACCTTCATTGTCAGAGCACACTAGCTTTTCAGACGGCCTGTATTACTGTACAATTGTTGTAACAAAAAAAAACGCATAAATGTTTGTGCTTTTTTTACGATAAGGAAAGAGGAACATTTAAGTCTGTCTTAAATGTTCCTCTTTCCTTATCGTAAATTAATAAGCAACACGCTCAACCGTCTACATCATGTTTGTGCTGGCGTAGCATTCTCCGACTTTAAATACATGATCATTCCAATGAGAAACATATGTTGTTGTTTTTTTTCTTTAGAAAGGTTGCGCTGTTGATTTCTGTTTTGTAATTAAATATTTAAAAAAAGAGCTTTAACCTGAATTTTGTTCGTCGAGAGGACGGAGAGTCCCAATTTAATTAATTTTTCATTTGAGTGACACTGCCCATCCGCCCGTACTGCGCCAAGGCAAACCGAGCAGCTCTATTCTGTATTTTTTCAAGTTTATCATTCAGTGTTTTTTGGTGCAGGGTCCCCATCCGGCGCAAGCATATTCTAAAATCGGTCTGACGTTTGCTAGAGGCAGTTTCAAAGCACTTTAGATTTCTTTGAATAAAGTTCAGCGGCCTACCATCTTCAGGAATCACATCGTCTACGTTAGCATTCCATGAGAAATGATAAAATAAAACCTTGATACTTGTATGTAGGTTGGTTGCTTGCTTGATTGGTATTTATATAATACTGATTTTCAAGCTTTTCTCTTTTTTTTTTTGTAGAACATAGCTGCACACATTTTGGTGATTTAAATTAATTTTCCACTCGGAACACCAGGTATGAATATGGTCTAAGACTCTAAGTCCTTTTGTAACTCAGCAACATCACTCTGAAGATAAAGTAAGTAGGCAGGCGAGCTGGTTGACGTTACACATCTTTAAAAACCGGAGACGACGGACGAAGAAGGGGACAACACACAAAATGTCTCACAAAACGTTGAGACGTTTTGTGCGTTGTCCCCTTCTTCGCCCGTCGTCTCCGGTTTTCAAAAATGTGTAACATCACTCTCAGTCTTAATTTTTCTATGCACAACGCAATCATCAGCGATAACCTTATACAGGAAGATGTACCTACTAAAATATCAATAGTAAAAATTTAGGAAAACAGTTCGATTGGTTCTTTACTGGTTGAACACGTGCCCCAGCCAAACGTTAATGCAGGTTCAACTACGTCAGCCGAGCGCGGCGAAAGAAACACGAACAAATAATTAATTTCATCATTGTCCCCGTGGACCTATAGTTGTCAACTTAGCCGTTAGGGTCGCGGCGGTTTTCCTCCGCAATAGACCCTTTTCAAAACGTCAATCGGGCAACATTGGCGGTCACCATTGCTTGCTGACGAGGTGCGTGATTGGATCCGAGTCGTCGCCGAACGGTGACGGCATACTCGTGTCCAATGAGTTCACCCCGAACGATGACGCAGACCTCGTGTCCAATACACGCTCAGAGCACGTGATCAAACAATGGCGGGCTCAGATAACTGACGCACCAGCTACTAGACGACGAGCACTTTTGAAAAGTATCTGTAACTGAAACTGCGGCATTTTACACCCGTGATGTTTATTTATTTATTTATTTTTACAAAATCTGGCGGGGCGGATTCGCCGAATTCGCGCTCGGAATCCATAAAATGGTTTCAGATTTAAATATGCTACTCGGTGCTCGCTTTGCGCGTTTTGTAGGGCTACGCCTGACGCTCAACATCGAACGCAGCGAGTACCTGGACATCATATCGCCCGAATTCGGAGCTCGACTCCTCATCCACCCTCTGGGGACGGCACCGACTCTGGAGAGGGGCGGCATCATCCTGTCTCCAGGAAGCAAGAGCTACATCAGCATCAGGATGGTAAGCGGGCAGAAGCGATGCGACGGAAACGAGGGAACTCCAAGGGCCATACGTTCGACAAACGAGCAGAAAAAAAAAAAGACAAAAAAAAAGTTCGCTGAAGTTGAAGGCAATCAGGAATGTGGGGAACGGCATGTTAACTATAATGGGTTTGTGCGTAAAGCCGAATAAGCTCCGGCGTCTCTGATTCGCCACCGAAAAAAAGAAATTGTACTTATATAACGAGAAATGTAGCGATAGCGCGGACTCGACCCAACAGCATATATCTCTCTGGGTCCCTGGGTTTCTACACCCTCAGCCGTAATGAGCAGAGTAGCAAATTAAAACACCGACCTTCATTATCAAACAATCCTTTCCTATTTTTCTTTCCCTTTCCTCTATTATACCCCATTTTCTTCCCTCAAAATAGGAAGACGAGATGGCCCTTCCCGGGAGACGAACTATGCACTTGTATATTTTTCATTCTAAGCAATAAACTATGTAACTACAAATAGCTATACGTTGTAGAAACAAATGGTTAGGTAGAGATGCTCGATTAAACCGGTTAGTCCTCCCAGAATTGCGGAGACTCGCTGAGGTTGAAAACTTATTGCTGTAGCTGGCATTTCCGGTGCATGATTTGGGTGCGCGAAATAAGGCATGCACAGGCTTAGAGTATCGGCACTCCGTTTCTCGGTTCTCTCGTGGGTGCCGCCAGTGGCCGCAATAGACCGTTTTCAAAAGTACGCACCTGTCCGCCATTGCTCGGCGTTCGGCGTGAGCTCGGCTCAGCTCGTTTCGAAAGACCAGTGTGACGTCAGCGTTCGGCGAGGACTCGGATCCAATCACACGCTTTGTATATAGGATGAATGGATGTTATGGCTATACCCTTTCTAGCGGGCGGTAGCTTGCGCGACCTAGCCTAAGTCTAAAAAGACAAACATGATTTCTCCCGCCCTTCTAACTTCTAAGCCAATTTTCCACCCCCTAACTATCACCAATGTTGCTCGGTAAACTTTTGAAAAGGGCCTATTGGCGGTCGTTGCGATGTACAAATGTGACTTCCTGAGCTTTTAGACACGGTGGACGAGGACGAAAAGTCGTCGTCTGCAATAGACTTTTCCGGAAAAATCCGAGGAGACTTTGCAACGAGGGGAATTGTGGGACTGCTCGGATGTACGCTCATCCCGGCTCAAACGCTTCGTATATCCCGGTAGCGGCACGATTCATTCTTTCTTGTCGTTAACACACGCAGAAATAAAGCGAACGGAAAACAAGGTCATCGCATACACTGTTTCGCTTTCCTTCCGCCTCTCTGCGTTCTGGAATCACGAACTGTTAAAACCAACGTCTTCGCTCCTTGGATAATTTCACGTGACGTTCAGCCGAACGTCGCAATGCGTAAAGCGGACGCTGGAAGCACCACATATTTTCGGAAAGGTCTATTTTCAGATAAAGCTTTAGATAACTGGCAACAGTGACTTTATGCACCAAGATGGCCGCAGTGCACGTTGTTGCTCCGAAGCGTAGCTTGATCAGCGGTTGTAGACTCCGCCACTGTCACCCAGTACAATCCTATTTGCAGGCTAATTAATTCCCCTATCTTTTCGAAGAGCCTGTAAGCATTCGCCCTGTCGAGAGTTTCTGCTTAAAAAACTTCTCACACCGCAAAATGATGTTTAGTCTCTCTGCGACTATAATGAGTGAAGAAATTACTGCTGTATTTAAATGTGGAATACCCAGATTTGAGCATGCATTGTGTGCTCCCCCGAATAACAACTGAAGTGTGTCCGTAAAAACCATTTCAGCGAAAAATCCAAAGGCTTCCTGAGCCCTACAGAGGCTGCAGCAAGAGTTTCAACGACAGCAAGATAACTCCATACCTCCGTAACCTCGGCCTGGATGACTTGATACAGCGTTCTTTATACACCTTTGACGTAAGTGCCACACAACTTCAAACCAACCGAGAGCGTAAGAAACTGACGGCGAGGCAGACAAATCTACCGTACGTCAAACGTCGCCTCCTTAATGTTTCGAGAACATTTCCAAACCCACAACCACAAAAATAAAAGAAAGCGACACGACACGACGAAGTTGAATTTTGTGGACAACGAATGACGCTGCATCCTAAGCGTCTGAGCCCCAAGAACGTTACCCAAAAAAAAAACCTACGCGACGACCCTATAATATTACACTGCATTTTAAAATGTGGAGCCGATAAGACTGCTTTTCAAAAGATAAGACTAAGATAAAATAATTTACAAGCAAGAACAGCTCTTTCCGTCGAGAGAGGAAATGATTGAATCGGAGGCTTGAAGGTGACGTTGTACTTTTGAATCGCAACCTGGAATTCAGCAAAGCGGTCGCTTGAGGCGTCCGCATCGCTGACTTAATTCGAAGTCTGCGGTCAGAAAAACTGCCCCTCTTACTTTTCTTCAAGGCTCAAGCTAAAGCTTAAAGCTTCAAGCTTCAAGCTCAAGCTAAATAATGACTACGGGGTCCGTGAACGAAAACTAAACCCGGTCTCTCGACCTGCATAAATAATATTCGCATCGAAGGAACATGGGTCTTCTTGAGAATGTGACCCTAGCGGTGGTGATAGAATACAAAAGTACTTGTTGTTGGTCTAGTTAGTGATTAAAATGCGAAGTTTTGAGATCGTCACGTCCGCTAAACCAAAAAAATACAGCAAAAAAAAAAAATCGGCATGAGCTCACGTTTGCTTAAGCGCATACTAAGTTAATATTCGTCAATACAAGAAATTACATGAAGTGCTTCTGTGGCATTTATTTCAGTGAGAAAATCTTGTCAACAAGCAATACACTATTGCTTTGTTTTTTGTAACAATTTTTGTTTTTGTTCTTGTTATTTTTTCACCGAAATAACTTTTACTGGCGCTCACGACGTCATTTCTTGGTTCGACGACTATTATAGCTTAGGCAGACGTCGGCTCATAGAGATTTTTTTTTAAATTTCAGGTGAAGTTATATTTATGAACGTTCGTATCTTATCCCCACCGTCATATTCTGACGGAGTTTCAGGTTCCTATGATGCGCAGTTTCTTTATGCGGGTTGAAAAAGAAGGCTTTTATTTTCTCTCCCTGACGCAGTATAGTGCCGATAGTGCGTGCCATTTTAAAGTAGCACCGAGGAAGAAACAGGACCGCCTGCCTTTAACGTCCCTAGATAAAAGCTCCCTACAAGTAGCGACATTCTTTGAAGCTCCGGCTGTGTGACGGTGCAGGTTTTAGGAAGCGAATGGCAGCGCACAGCAGGAGACTGAACTGAATGCCGCCATTTTGTTCCAGCGGATTGTGCTTTGTCATTTGTATTGGTTGTCGTTACTCGTAAAATAAGTATCAAGGGACTTTACCTGCCTTCGCTTGTCCGCACGAAATTACTCGGGGAAAAAAGATGATTTAGCATATACTTCGTCTCGCTGTCACTCCGGGCGCGGCCTGTGTTACGAGCCGAGGGACTAATCACGGAGCGCGAAAAGCCCAATGTCTTGGCGCGTTCTTCGAGCATGCTTGGGTGGTCCGGCGGAAGAGTGCTATACTCACACAAAGACGGAGAGAGAGAGAGAGAGAGCGCCGTCACGTTTCACTTTTTGCTCTATTTCGTTTGCCCGACGGCTCGTAACACCAACTGCGCTACTTCGAACCGAAGGTGAAACGAAGGATAAGCTAATACCAGCACAAATAAAACAGCACTCACTCAGAGGCAGGGCAGAGAAGGATGCGAAGTGCATAGATCGTTTTCAGGTAGCGGTCACCGAAAATGATTGTAGCCCTTCTAGATTTTAACTACTGCTTAAGGAACTATACTTTGTTTCACCTTAGGTCCGAGCGCGGACGATACGATGAGCCGAAGGGCCAATCAAACAGCGCAACAGGTGCAACGTCATGGCGTGCTCTCTACGCTTTATGGAACTAGCCGGCAGAGGAGCACGCACAGAGGGACGGCGAATACCTTTCAACAGCAGAGAGCACGCCATGACGTTGTGCCTCTTTCGCTGTTTGATTGGCTCTTCGGTTCATAACATCGGCCGCGCTCGGACATAAGCTGAAACGAAGTATAAGGGTGTGACAACCACTGGCGCCTATTGCAGTAGGATGGACCGCAAATCAAGGCTTGTTTTGCTGGGGGTCGAGTGGCACAACCGCCCACCAGGAAATGCATCGAAGCCTATAAAAAAAAAAAGAAAAAAAAAAGAAAAGAAAAACGTGGAAAAGTGGAGATTTTTATTATTTGCGTTATATTTTTATGGGGAAAAAATAAATTTCTATTCTCCTGATGACTTCCTCCATGCACGGGCCCACGGGCAGCCAGTGGGGGCAACGCCGTCGTGCAAGGAGCCAGATAAGTTTGCTTCGATGTCATGCTAACCTTTATATTTTTACTTACGAAGGGTTGCAGATTGAGTTCGAGGCATCACTTTTGTTTCCAAATCAAAGCAGACGATGCCTGATGACAAATCTACTGTTGCTCGCTAAAGTAACTTCTCTTTTTAAACCAATTTTGTAAGAAACTGTGTTCATGTTGCGGGTTATTTTGAGCAAAAACTGGGGTTTCGTAGCAGCATGACCCAAACGATTCGGAAAAGTCCAGCAGACAAATTCCATGGATGGCAGAACACGACAGAGATTGGCAAGGTGTTTGCGTAATTCAATACCATTCTCAACGGTTTCTGACTACTGCGAATTTTGTCTTACTATGCCCGCGAAACCTCATAAAAGTTTCTTTATACGACACTTCAAACAAGCTCCAAAAAGGTTCTTTTTTTTTTTCATTATCTGTCAAGCAATGGCCGCCGGTTGTGCCACCGCCGGTCTCCCGATGCGCGATCCAGCCTACTACAATAGAGATCAGTAGCGGCGACTCCCAAGCGTCTTATTCACTGTGCTGCAAATGTTACTCGAATGGACCCGAGTTACTCCGGCAGATCATGTCACGTGACAAGACAGATAGAGCAACGCTGGACACGGTCTAGTTTTCGAACGCCAAGTTACCGAACCTTCACCCTATTGTGGGAGCAAGTAAATTTTGGAACACGGCCATTATCGCGCCGCAGACAACAAGATTGTGGCACTAGCCGATAAGAATGCCGAAGAACAAATCCCGAAGCACGGATCGTGAAGGTGATAAGCCATGTATGGTGTTGAATTTGTCAGGATTACCTGGATTAAGGATGACTGCAGCGGCCGCAACGCACTGTTTTTTTTCTAATCTTGAATTATTGACACACCTGTTGCCAACCGTGTAGTGGCAGCAGTTAAATAAAAAACACTATATTACCCTCCTTGGGGAAAAAGATGAAATCGGGGTGTAATTCACATAAAATAAAATGTTGCAAAGTAACAAAATAAAATTGACTACATATGAAGGAATGTCGATGTTCAGCTGAACGCTTGCTGAGATGAGTTCCTTCATTTCGCACTCTGGGTTCACCCTTCTTCACAAATATTTAAAAGGGATTACCTTGCAAAGTCAGCCAGATGCCGGGCTCGTGGTTTCTGACGGGGCAGCGTCGATGAAGAGGACTGTCCGTGCTGGATGACGGTGGCACGGTGTCATCTAGGTCGTGATCTGCTTTTGCGTAGCACTTGATTGATCCTGGAGGCATCCCTGAAGAAAAAAACTGACAATCTGTGTGATCATTCGGTTGCTTTGGTATGCTTTGATCTGAGATCCATGAATGATGGTAATGATGTAAGGGGCCGGATTGTAGTATCACGTAAACATGTGTTGGACTTGTTTGCACAGGATTCTCTGACCCACCCAGAAGCTATCTGGTCGAGCACCTCTCCGTGTGAAAGCCTGGTGCTTGTTGTAAGCTTTTTTTGCAAACTCAGTTAACCTTAGTCCTTCCGAGTCCACTCCTCTTGGGGATGGGACTGCAAAGAGAGGAAGGAGATTCCTCATTGGTCTTCCGAACAGTAATTCGTAAGGCGTTTTTGTTCTTGTGCCTTGTTTCGTAGATCTGTAGGAAATGTGCCTAGCTCAGACTTCCAGTCCTTGCTTTCGAGTTCACTAATGTGCACCTGTTTTTTTAATGTTCGCATCAATCGCTCCACTTCTCCGTTTGCTTGAGGTCATAGGGGTGTGACTTTGTGGTGCCGAAATTCCTCCTCTTGGGCAAACTCGGCGAACTTTGTGTATTGGAACGGAGGCCCGCTGTTCGTTATTGCTTGTTCTGGGATGCCAAACTGGACAAACATAGCTCAAGGGTTGGGCAGTATATTGCTTGCGCTTGTCGAATTGAGGACTTGTACCATAGGTTATCGCGAAAAGTCATCTATCACCACAATCGCATATTTCCCATCGGGAAATGGAACACAAAAGTCGAGTGATACTTTTTTTTTTCTCAAAGGCTGCTTGGAGGTTTGGTGATCGTAAGTGGTTCTTAAGTTGTTTAGGGTGCTCCCGCTTGGCATGGAAGTCAACTCTTCAGCTGCATGTGCACAAGGTTGTCCGTGCCTGGAAACCATACCTTTTCTCGTAGTAGTTGTTTCGTCTTTACGATTCCTTAATGACCTCGGTGTGCCAGTTGCACTGCACGTTTCTGAAGACCTGTTAGAAGGACCAATTGTGTCCCGTTTTCGTAGAATGTCACTTTTTACAACGCACATGTCGATGCAAATCCTCATTTCATCAGGGCGACGTGGTTTCGGGACAATCACCACTGGAGACACCCATGGCGTGGGTCCAACTGCTGGCTCAATGATGTCCTCTGAGAGGCAGGGACGTATTTATTTGTCAGGCCGGGGAGGGGGGGGGGGGGGGAGGGGGGGGGGGAGTCTGCTGAGTCGGCCGAAACGTTGCCCAGATCTATTTTGTTGACCCAATATATGCTATGTCACCAAAAACTAAACTTTTGGCTGGTGTTATTTTTAAGAAGTTGACCTTGGGAAGCTTATGGAGAGGAGGTCGCCCCCCCCCCCCCCCCCCTCTCTATACCGACCTTGCTGAGAGGAGACGGTCGAATTCTGTATCCACGAGTGCTCGCACTATAAATGGAATGCGCCAGTGCGGTTGAGCGATGGGAGGCACAATGTCATCTGCGAAGAGGGGGATTTGCTGCTCCTTGAGCTTTCCAACTCCTCTGAACAAGTTGGGGAATGATTCCACGATCGACTTTCCTGTTGGGAGTTTTCGACTTGGTATGTTATTTGGACACTACCAAGGTTTGATGCTGTTGCGAAGCTTAGAAGTGGCGCGCAGCTTCTCCGGGTGACGAAGATGTCCTCTTGACTGCACCACTCTTTGTACACCATGCTGACTGAGACTTTTCTCAGAAGTTGCAGGGGAGACGTTGCCCTGTATGGGAACACCTTTACAGATGTTTTCTCAAGTTTCTCATCTAGGTGGCAGTCCTGGAGCTTATTTTCACCAACACTGGACACGGTTGCTCTTGTGTCTATCACAAAGGTGATGAAAACATCGTCAACCCTGATGGCAGATTTGGCAGACGAGCTTGATGGAGGTAATGTTTTTGCTATAATAATGTGTTCTTCAACACTTAAACTGCTGTCTTGGTGAGTTCATTTTATGACTTTTACTGTGTTATTCGTCGAACGGCACACCTTGGCAAAGTGTCCGATCTTGTTGCAGGCTTTACATGTTTTTCCCCATGCAGGACAGTTTTATCGCCCGCCGCCATGTAGCCACTTGCCACCGCAGTTGTGACAGTCTGTCGATAGGCTGTGATGTCGTTCTGTCTGATAGTTTGTTCGTGAATGCGGTTTCACACTTCTTTCTGACTTGTTGCCGCGATTCTGCTCGTCCTTTTGTACTGCGAGGACTGGCTTGTCGGCAGTCCGCTCGATTTCAGACACGTCGTGCTCTACGTCCTCGAACATGTGTCCTTGCCTGAGGATGTCTGGCAAGTCCAGCGAATTCACTATGTCACACTTCCGCAGGCGCGTGGATATGGTCGCGATGACGATCTCATTCTTTATCTCGAGATCAACGTGTGGGAAGTTGCAATGACGAGACAGGCTGCCGGAGTCCCGCATAGAAAACACCCAGTGACTCACCGGCGTTTTGTTGTGCCAGTCGGAAGCGACAAATGGGGACTGCTGGGCTCATTCTTCGCGCGAAGTAAGCGTCGAGTTTTGCTCTCGCGGCGTCGTACTCAGATGTTAACGCTCTCGCTGCGCCTTGCGCGGTGCTGCAGCTGCCAGTCGCCGAGTCGTCCGGTAGAGACTGGTAGAGGTCATACAGTCGAGTCACCGAGGCTCGCCGGCGTAATGAAGGAAGAGCGCTTTCTTGCGTACATCCGCCGTAATGTTGTAGGCAACGCTTGGCCCACTTGGCCCACTCGAGGCAGATGTCTTTGGCATCAGTAGCTTGGATGTTGAAACTCGGAAACGGAGACAGCGTGTGTGCCATTTTGACCTGTTCCGTTCCTTACTGTGCTGGTGCTCGCCGATGATGTTGTGGTGCACGGGTTCTAGGGGTCTTCCGTTACCACGGCTGGCACTTCTGACACCATTGTGTTGTTGCGTTTGTCAGGATTACCTGGACCGAAAACGACTGCAGCGGCCGTAACGTGTTTTCTTTAACCCGCAATTATGGGCACACCTATGTTGCCAACCGTGTAGTGGTACCGGCTAAATGCAGAACACTGCGTCATGCACTATACTCCCTTTCACGTTAGAGAGTTAGGTTTAAAGAACCGTTTTTGCACATCCTATACGGTACAATAGGCCCTCCGGCACGCACTGGCACCGCGCTTGCACTACCACTAGATACTTGCATATGCGCAGTTCGTACCGGAGGGCCCATCGTACCGTATCGGATGTGCGAAAATGGTTGCCTAAAACTGCGATCGGATGGAGCCAATCAAGCGGCGCCAGCAGTGCATCTTCACGGCGCTCGTTGTCCTTGTTCGTTTGCTATCACCGGCTGAACCATTCCCACAGAACCATGCGCAACATCCTGCGTATTCACTGTGCGCGATTGGTGTAGCCAACGAAAGCGACGACCGCCATGACGATGCACTTTTAACATTGTTTTGAAGTGTTTGTGAGCAGTGTTTGCTGTTTGTCCCTCTTGTTAAGATGAGAGGCAGGTGTTAAAAGTCGAATTTGGGAGTTTTACTTGCCAAACCAAAGGGGGGCGATTGCCCCCCCCCCCCCCAAACACACACACACATACACACAGTGCAGGATGGGGTTTAATTTCGACCACCTGGGGCTCTTTCAGAAGCACAACCGAACGCTCGGTTACACGGGGCCTTCTGCGCAATGCGCCGCGAAACAGAGGGGCAGGAGAAGGCGAGAGCGCACGGGGACATCATAACGCCGAGCTCTGGTTGGGTAGATTAGTGGGTAGAGCTAAAGCTAGCTGTCCTTGTCTCCCCTGCACTCGTCGAACACGTTAGAACGCGGAACGCCGGCGTTTGGCTATCGCATTCGAACGCTTTCGACGACTGCACTGGAGACAACGGCAGCTATAGCTTCAGGTCTACCCACTAATTATTCCAACCAGAGCTCGGCGTTCTGATGTCCCTATGCGCTCTCGCCTGCTCCTGCCCCTCAGTTTCTGGGCAGATAAGCCTCCGTCGAAATCTGGGCACCCCGGGCCGGGATTCGAACCCGCCACCTGGGGATCCGTAAGCCGGCGCTTTTTCTCAGAGTCACCGAGGCTACTTTAGGAGGCGGGTGTGATAAGGGCCGCCCACACTAGCGAGAAAACGCGCGTGGCACGCCGATCGCGGCAAGTAACAAAATGTCGCCGAAGCACAGTCAGCGCCACGAGCGCGTGCAGACACACGCCCTTTATCTTGCCGCTCAACCGATTTATCGGCGCGCCGAGCGCGTTTTCTCGCTAGTGTGGGTGGCCCTATCGAGGGAGTACGATCAAAGTGTGACCTTCTTCCAGTACTGCCAGACCCTGTGTCGCGAAGCCGCCCTGCTGCGCACGTGCGACTGCCTCGACGAGCTGTCCACCAACGGCCGAGCGTCCTGCGACCCGTGCAACGTCACTCAAGGTGCGTGTTTCGCCCTGTATACCGACCGCAGGCCGAACATACAGAGACACGCTGCGATACTTTGCTATGCTCCGTTTCACCTAACGATGGACTGCAGCAGACGCTACGAGCCACCCCAGTCAAGAGCAACCCGTATGTCGCTGCACGCCTTCCGATGACTCCGATAACAATGCCCGATTCTCCGCCTAAGCCTTTTGTCCATGCATCGTACGGTTATCGGGTTCCGTTAGCGGAGATGTCGGAACGGTCTACTATAACTGTCTACAATGTGGCACTCACGCGACATTGGATTGGGTTCTTTTACGCGTCGTGGTGTATACTCTGAGGTCCATCGTAAGATAAAGGGAAACTGAGTATAGATGCCCTTGAGCCGCGGTTACACTGCTAATACATCGTAGAACAGACAGTCTGCATACACTGTCTGTGGCCTGTTTCTTTCTTAATTGACATATTGGTCATACAAAAACTGTTGCATTTTCAAAGATATGTACGAAGCAAGCATGCTTCGAAGATGCTTGAGGCCTGTCTGCTGCTACTTCTCCCATCGTGTCTGCAGTCCAACACTGCGTCCTTTGTATGGGTGTGACTGCGGCTTTAGGCTATAGTTTGGAGCCTAATCAGCCCCAATGCTTGTTCCCGCAGCGCGATGCCGTACCCGCTACCTTCGTAGCTACACGTCTTCCACCGGCGGCCAACAGTGCAAGACCCTCTGCCTGCCAGAGTGCGTGTGAGTGTCCTTCTATAATAACCAGTAACGTAGAAAGCATTCCAATAAGTGCCTTGTGCGAGCTGCCATCATTGTCTGCTAAGCTGTGGTTCTGGGCGGACGTACTGGCCCTCTTGTGCGCAAGATCAGACCCCGCGCACGGGTTCACAGCCCAGTGACTTGGCATTATTCGCCTGGTTGATAGAGGGTGGAACTGTCTGTACGATCTGGGCGTCTGAAAACATTCGGTAAAAATCGGCCGACTATCAGCCCATTGAGAACGTGTTCCCTTGACACTTTAGGTTCTTTGTCTCGACTTATTTCTGAATTGTGTTATGTTCCTTGACAATAGGGGGTATTCACCGGACGCCATATTTGAGGTCGATCTTTAGAGCGCATGCTCGGAACAAGCTCACGTTAATAGGCTGCTAAGACCGGCATCTTGGTGGTGCGGAATGCGCGTGGCGAAAGAGCTGTGAAAGCTCGCCGTCAGCACGCGCTCAGCAGTCATGCACACAGCTATGGCCGCCAGTGAACACTCCTTATTGGCGACGTGCGCGATCGAAACCGTCGCTGTTGTTGGATTTCCACGATTGGACGAATGCTGACTATGACATCAGAAAAGGATTTCTCATCAAAGGAAATACGAGGAATGAAAAAAAAAAAAAACTTCAATTTTGGCGGTGTTGGCAGTGTGGGTATCAGAACGCAATGATTTCAGGCTTCCACCATGCTGTTACGAACACCATCAAACTTGTTGTTCGCAAGGCAAATGATGTCAGGGGAGGGGAACCATAAAGGAGGGCGCCAGCAAAACATCTCGCCGCTAATACCCCATTAACACGGTCAACATAAAGGTACCTTTAACATAGGTCCCTTTGCTATCGGCGAATCAGCCCGTGCTCTTGGGTCGGCAGCACACGCCACGCGCGGAAGATCGTGAATTCATTGGCCGCAGAGAAGAAAGGTGCCTTAGCTAAAGGTACCTTTACGGTCGTGTGAATGGGGTATAAGAGACCGATCTCACCGGTCAGTTTGACTACGCAACTGCTGCCGCAATGCATCGAGGAAACTTCATTCTCTTTGCACATGCAACAAACATGCTGGAGCTCTGCGCTTGTGGAGCACGAGACGGCACGAGCCTTTGCATGTACTGCCGTCTGTCTCCCGTGAGCTAAAGTTATGGCGGCGTCGCACACGTGCCGAATGCTTAGTGAAATCATTCTATTGATTCGTCTGTGTTCGTTGCTCCTTGTGTATGTCAGTACTGAAGAGCACGTGGTTAATTGTATATTTAATGAAAGCACTTCCATAAAAACAGTGCGAAAAACAAAACGAAGGAGCAACTGGACAAAGCCAGCGCTGGTCTCTCCAGTTCCCTTGAATCGTCGTTCGTTTCTTTTCACACGGCTTTTATTCAAGATGCATCACCAACAAACCAAGTGTGTACCCACCCGCACTGCAAAAACATATTATATATATATATATATATATATATATATATATATATATATATATATATATATATATATATATATATATATATATATATATATATATATATATTAGGTGTTTTGACGTTTCAAGACTCTTTCAGCTCGTAAAGAACGGTTTCGTCTCAAGCACTAAATCGCCCCCTGACGCACCCGAAAGGCAACTGGAAGATGAAGAACTCTTTCGGGTCAAAAAAGAAGCCCCCTTTTAAGCTTTTACGAAGGGCCCTTTTAGGGAATGCTTAAAATAACTTTTAGTGTGCAAAATATGGACAAGACGGAGAGCCCATAAAAGTTCCTTTACGACGAGATTTTTTTTTTTTTTTAGTGTACAGTTTTACAGTATACTAACAATAGTTTAATGTATTTCAGGGGAAGCGGATTTCTCTGTTCCTTATGCCATCTGTCGAAACTTGGAGCGCGCGGCTCGGGGTCGGATTTATGGGTCAGGCCTGGGGGCGGTAGGCATTCGGCTGGCGGAGGGGGGGGAGGGGGGGGGGGGGTGGTAGGGAAGTCTGCCGAGATATGATGTTACGATCGGGAACGTTGCCTAGATATATTTTCTTGACGCAATATTTGCCATGTCCCCAAGGCGTAACCTTTTGGCTGGTATGTATCAATGATTTTATTAAAACAAAGTTGAGCTTACGGTTCTTAGGAGGGGCCGTCGCCCCCCCCCCCCAAAAAAAAAAAAATCTGGCCCTGGCGCGGCTAGAGACCTCCTCCAAGTGGCTTTGATGTCATTGCCTTTTTTGTTGTTTTTGTATGGAGCGCAGTGTTCGTTAGTAGAAAAGAGGAACACATACTTTTTTTTTGTCGTTTCTTGCCCTTTTTTTTAATCCACTAAAGGCATAACCATACACAGCCTCAGAAACTTTCAGAAGGTTCCTCTTCAGGTTGTTCCTCCTAGCCACTGACAGACAATCAAGGCCAGGGCGGGGCCTATTAAGTTCTCACTGCGTGCTTCGTAATTGGTTCTTCGGCGTTCATTTTCGGTTAATGTCGCAATCGCAATGGCTAGGAGGTAACAAGAAGTTCAGGAGACGCCACGCCCTGTTTCTGAATCTGCCACTTACTGTAGCTTCAACCGCCTTCGCGACACCTTTGGCTGCTAGTTTGAGGCTTCCAGGGGGTACCTCTTCAAGCCAGCTTCAACCATCTGTGTGATTCATGTTACCTTGAGGATCCTATTCATGGCAATAAAAACATGAACATATGATCTGGCGTCTTCCAGTAGACCCCTTTCAAAAGTGCCAGCCATCTAGTAGCCGTGGCACCAGTTATGTGAGTCTGCCATGGTTTCGGCATGCGTGCTTCGAGCGTGTATTGGACACGAGGGCTGTGTTGTTAGCATTCGACGTGTACTCGGCTAACTTCTCGTCGAGAACAATCGCCGCGTCATCGTTCGGCCAGGACTCGGATCCAGCGACGCTTTTTGTGCCCCAGAAATAGAGACCACCAAGTTGCTAGACGGGGTTTTAATAGTCGTATATTGGCCCCGAGATTAGTTGACCACTTCTGCCCCCCCCCCCCCCCCCCCCCTATTCTGCATTACAGCGAGGTCAGATACGACCTGACCACCTCACAGTCGGAGTGGCCGAACTTCCGCCAGCAGTCGTGGTCCATCAAGCGCTGGCCACTGCTGAACAAGCGTCTGCAGGATGCCGGCATCCGGTGGCAGGAGGTGCTGAACGCTACCGATGACCACGTCTTCGCGGAAGAACTCCATTCCTTCAGGTAGAAGGCGTTTCCTTCACAAGGCTCGAAAATGTACAATCTCCCACAATAAAAAAAAAGAAAAGAACAATTCGCCGAGGCAGCTTATACGACGGTGCTAAGAACACTTTGAGCAGAGCCACTTTAATGGTTAAGAGAGACTAAATAGACCAACGGTTTAAATCTTTCCTCACCTCAAGCTAGAGCCACTAATTAAGCTACGCCCATAGTATCGGCCCTCTATAGACCGATGCCTTGTTGGCACCGCCATTTTGGTGCTTAGTGGTGTGCGGGTGCTATTGGCGATCGTTTCGATTCGTAAGTGCGACTCAACCTGACCGGTGGATAGGGGGCGCTGGCGCAGTCGCCGCCGTTGGGTGGCTTCAATTTGTCTGGTATCGGTTCCAGCTGCATCGCTGCTGCGTCTATGTTCTATGTCATTTTCGCTTAATTTCGTACTACAAATGTGTCTGTTATTGCACACAACCAATAAAACGGTGGTAGTGAGCCACCTTGAGAACCACGAGGTGGTTTCGAGTCATAATTCGTCTACGGCTGTACCCACTGACTGTATATAGTTTCTAGAAAAATGTATGAAGAAAGGCAGTCATCCGTGGATGTATAGTAAAAATGCAGGTCCACAACCTGATTAAAAAAATGCTGAATAGCGAAAACCACACGAAGTCGAAAGCTCACCGCTTACTGTCCGAATTTTGCGGCCACTGTTTTTTGTGAACTTTAATAACTGGAAATGCCTCCTAATGCGACGGAGATGTTACAGAAGAATAAACAATATTATCTCGGGCTGTTTTATCTTTTTAAGAAATTAAATATTTGAGAAATATTTCGATAGTCGGTCCTAGGCCGGGTGGGAAATTTCTTTAGCTATTGGCCATGCTAAAGTACTTATTAAAAGCATTTCACAACTTTGGCGTTGGGAAGTAAACTATTTGTTTTAGTGAGATTTGATTGCGATGTACTCAGCATATGAGATAAGTTACAGACCCACCAAGTGAAGTCTTAAATTTTTCCTTTGCGTAATGAAATTAAAGGGTTCCAGAGAAGTGACCTCCCGTACGTTTGGCTGAAGTGGAATGCAAAGCACCGCTTCATGAGCCTGTGTAGACATGTCTTCAAGGAAACTGATGTGATCTGGAATCAACAACGCTGAACTCGGGTGATGTTCGTGGAGATGGCTTCCTTTCGGCATCCCATAAGTGCGAGCCCTCGGCACTCTCAAGCTGCATGTGGCAGATTTTTTCTCCATCTCCAGGGTAGTCCCCACCTTTGTCCCGAAATAATTGAAATAAATAAATTGAGTTGTACGTCCTAAAAATGTGTTAAAGCACTTGAATGACTGCAGGTATGGGACCGATCGTAGTGTACAGTTTTTTTTTAAAGTAATAAATCAACAAATCAAGCAAATGTTTATATCGCAGTAACGATTAAGAACGTCTAGCACATTTAGGTGTAATATCGTGAACAAAGAAATCACCTGGTGTGTAAGTTACCATTATTTCGAGCATCAGATAAATGTGAGTAAAACCTTCGTTACCTATTTTATATATCTTATATAAACAAAAACTACTACTTCAAATTTGCTTTGAAGGCAAATCACGATGCTTCCAGGAAACACAAACAGCTTCATATGCTCATCATTTTTGTCACATTCCTTAAGGTCTTAAATGCGCGATTATAAATATAAATTGCTTTATACTTATTCCGAATATTCTGTCACTGTCAGTGAGCAAAATTGAGTTTTAATAAATAATTGGGTTCAATGTGCGCCAGGGCTGATGCTGATTTCTGTACCTCCTTCCTTCTCACACGTATCCGCCACGCCGACGGTGAAAATAGCCAACATCCCTACCGAAAAATCCGGTATAACTTTTCACTATCCGGATTATGGAACCGGAAATTTGTTACTGGAAACCCGAAATCCAGATTGTAGACAAAGGAATTATTTTGGAAAACCCAAATTCCAGATAGATTCCAGATAAATTTCCGGTTCCATAATCCGGATAGCGAAAAGTTATAGCGGATTTTTTGGTAGGGATGTGTTACAAAACAAACTGCAGATTTCGTCGTGCACATAATGATGGCATGAAATTAAGTTGTAAATGTAAAAACATCGCGCCTTTTTGCAAAATAATGCGAGAAACGCGGTGAAACGCGACGAAAAACACGAATGCAACTCCTTCGCCAAGTCGCGGATGGGAGAGCGGAGCGACGAGTTGAATCATAGCCTCCTCTATACTCACAAAGCCTGGCAGTTCGAAGACGGAGTTACACACCGCCCGGTCGCAGATTTGGAGCGCGAAGATCTGGTAGCACAGAGAATCTCTCGGTGAACCTGGACGTTAGCGAATAGCTTTTGCAGCGGCGAGGACCCGAAACACAGTTTTCAAACCCGACGAGAAAAGAAGCGGTGGCGCGAGAAGCGCGAGGAGCACGAGCGGACATTCCATGGCTCGAGAGAAGTGTGTTTCGGCGTTTCGCCGCAGCGGGGCGCCCGTCACGTGGCTCACCTCTCATTCGTTGTCTGCCGCTCTACCTTTTCAATTTCGGCGGCCGCTTCTCGTGGCGATCTGCCAGGCTTTGTCAGTATTAGCGCCGAGATGTTTCGGTGGCGCCCCCTTATAGTTTCCATCCGTGACGTCACGACTGGGATTTGCCTCGCCGTGACGTCACCAGTTGTTATCCTGGCTACTTACCATCAGGTGCGACGACGAGTTCGGTGGTGTGTTTAAAAAGCACAGTGGAAGCTAGGAGCCATCGCAATCCGAAACCCCGTCAAAGTTGACAATCTGACAATGCTCATATGCCCATGGTTTGGCCAATCGTGGAAAGCTGACCGCAGCGACGCTTTTGGTCGCGCACATCGTTAATAGAGGAGGCTATGGTTGAAGCCACCGTATGGCGGCCAAGTCACGCGATTCCAAGACGGCAGCGCCCATGCGACGGAGGTTGAAAGGGTGTATAGGGGTGTCAAGACGCTCAGCCGATGGCGTCTTTCCCTGTCGCGGAGTGTTCTGAAATTGCCTGAGGAAGGGAAAGAGTTTTCTGCTATTAAAAAAAAAATAAAAAGGCTGCAGATAACTGGCAACGACTATCCTGAGCACCAACAGGGCTGAAGTGTCGTTACTCTGCAACATAGCTCACTTAGTGGCTCTTACCGCAAGCAGTGTGAGCAAGGCCGAAGCGAATTCAGCACGGCCGCTTAGAGCTGCCCCATCGAGTAGGTCTTTCATGTTGTTGGAGACTGTACACCTCAACATGGGGCTCACGCCTTGTGCGGGCGGTTTCTGTGCCTTTCAGGAGCAACTTCCTGAGGGTTCACATCTACATTCAAGAAATGAACTACCTGTCAGTACGCGACCTTCCTGCTTACCCAGTGAGTTTGCCAGCTACTCGAAAGGATGGTTCACGCACTCGCATTTGACTGTTACCGACTACGTTACGAGAGCTAGTGACCGCCTACGACGAGAACGTTGTAGACAACTGACTGACACACTGGGGCCATCTTTCAGGTGGCCCTAGAAACGCTTCCTCCCTTCGTATTTGCAGTCGGTGACAGCTAAAGTCGGTGACGCCGTATTTACGGAAACGCGTATTTGTTTTACAGCGAAGCTGTATATGACTCGTATAGGTTTGTCGACAGAAAACCCACGCGCGCGCCTTACCACCGTTCGCGCACGCTTTATAATTTATCTAGTGGTTTTGACACGTGTTTCAATAAGAAAGGCACAGAACACGTGTCAAAACCACGTGATACATCACAAGGCGCGCGGGAACGATAAGCACGTAGCGCTTTCTGCATGCGTTTCTCAGTAAAGATTGCGGTTGCATAAGCTGCCGCGGCAACGTGTGGAGTGACGTCACTATAGCCCCGCTATCAATGCGAAGCACGTAGCGCTCTCCACATGCGTTTCTCAGTAAAGATGGGGGTTGCGTAAGCTGCCGCGGAAACGGCAGCCGTACGAAGTCTTTCATATATAAAAAACGTTTTGGTACAGTAGACTTACTTTCATTAGTCATTTGGTATAGACCCTTTTGCTGTTTACAAACATGAACTGCCGCTTGCGCCCCAAGCGGCTTTCGGTCGCACCGTCTTTGCAAGCCTGATGAGCTTGCTTATGTCACCAGTGCTAGAAAGTATAAATGCTACACGGACAACCAAGTTGGAGATTTAACGAGGGGCTTCGGCTGTACAATATTACATCTAGGAGGAGGCCAAGTTGGTTTACAATACTCGAAACACTTCAACAAGTCTCGCACTCCATCGTTCTTTTGGCGTTCACCTGGAGAACTGGTGATTGAACGTTTCAGCTACATTTCAAGCAGCGGTGTTAAGGTGTCCTTTGTTTATTCTTTTTATAAACCGGAAGTTCTTTGGCACATCAAAGACTGGAGCACCACCTAGTGGCGTTTGCCATAAAAAAAGGTCTATAGTGCAGTGGGCATTCGTTGCAGGTGATGACAAAGGTTCGCCTTCAACCAGATTCATTGCGTGGGTTGGAGCCTAAAGGCGCGTTCACACTCTTGCAACCGAGTGCGACCGAGAGAGACCAAACCGGTTTTTAAGCCTCTCGCGATCTCTTAGGACCAGCTCCGCTCAGTGCATCCGGTCCCAAGAAGTCTTTCTCGGTCGTAATCGGTTGGTTGCAAGAGTGTGAACGCGCCTTAGTGCTTTTTAGTTCAAACGAATCTCATCATGCACCCTATTGGCAGTACGTGTACACTTGAAGGTGTATCTAACGCTTTACTTTCGAAATGCGTTCTAGACGTTCCTTCATATTCGGCATTTCCCGCTGAAAACTCTGCGGCGCATCAGTCTCAGATAGACCATACTCTTAAGCCTACACTGTACTCTCGCGTACCATCGTGAACAATACGACTCCTTTTGTTGTCACCCGTCGTCCTTTTGTTGTCGTACCTGCCGGTTTATACACAAGGTTTTTATCTAAACCGTTTGATGTAACGCGAAATTTAGGTCCCATTCTTTAAACTCCCTGACAAACCTAGGTAACGAAGCTTGTGAGGGAACACAGAAGCATAAAAAGATCGAAATGTACGTTGCAGCTCATATTGCCCACGGGGGTGCATCGCACCAATTTTTTTTAAGAATTTAGGAACTGAAAAAGAAACAAAAAATCATCCTAGATTTCCTGCAAAATAACTACAGTCGTCATTCCGTTGCAGCTGCCGCAGTTGTTCGCGGATCTCGGCGGTTGCCTGGGCCTCTACATAGGCGTGTCAGCCATCACCATCTTCGAGTTCTTCGAACATCTCCTTGCTCTGCTCCATCACATAGCAAACAAGTTCATGGGCCGCGAAAAGAGAGCATCCACGCCATCTGCTGCCCGCGACTGGGACTCGGGAGTTAGCGTAAGCTCTCCCGAAGTCGAGAAACCTAAGTCGTGGTCCTTCTTGGTTCGGAACAAGGAATACCCGCTACTGGCAGAGCCGCCCAGATCTCTGTTCCGGACGGAATATTCGGGTCGGAGGGGCCAGGTCGCGCCCGTCAGAAAATCTTTTTATTTGGGCTACACTGTGCCAGAACAACCCGAGAGAGATGGCGGATTTTTCGGCAAGAGGTTTCACGCTTACAATTCACAACAAACTTTGTAGTAAGCGCCGATTGTTACCTTGCGACTGCTTTACGACCTGACAGATGAGTGATCATAGTGGTGAACCTAAGACACCGGACCAGGCCAACACCTCTTTTACTTTGTTTCACTAAGTCCGAGGACACCCAACGGTACGAGTCGAGGGAACCAATACGAAGTTTTCGTAGATCGTTTCCAACGTTCCGCCAACGTTTCGTTGAAATACTTACTTTTTTATCCCTGAAAAAGGTAAGTCTCTCAGCGAAACGTCCGTTAACACTCAGAAGCTGGAAGGAGATTCCTTTGAACTTCTTACCAGCTTCGTTTCAGTTCCTTCCAGCTTCCCTTCCAGGTATATTGAATTCACTTGGCACACTGAAGTCCTGCCTCGTAGGGAAACCACATCGGTCAATCTAATATATCTGCGTCACCTTGTCGTGTAATAAACGCACCACACACCCAGAATGTTTAAAGCGAGCAATATGATTTGAACTATTATCTCTCGCAAATTTTCGTCACATTTTCATGTTTCATGCTCAGCAACACTTCATTAAAATCATGCAGTAGCTATCTCCGCGTTTCATGTCTTCGACTCCGTCCGTTCTTTGAATGCAGATGGACACTAGAGTGTGTAATCAAAAATAAAAATAAACGACACACGAGGGCCAACACAAGCTGGTCCATTTGTGTAGTGATTTGCTATAAAAGAAAAAGAAACCATGTGCATTGATTTTTGGTACTTTCTTAAAAGCCTCACTATTTACAAGGGGGTGCCCCTGGGGGGCGTCCGCCAGGGTTAGGAGGCGGTGCCGACGTCCTGTTGGAGCATCTCGTTCACCTGCTCATCGGAGATTCTGAAAGGGAGGGCCAGGTCGGCCACCAGGGAGAAGTGGTCCGAGGCGTACGCCAGCGAGGGCACGCGTCCAGGACCTATCTGATCTTCCGTAGGGAAGTCCAATCTGGCTTCTAGAGAGAAGTCAGCCTTGCTGAAGAAGATGTAGTCGATAGTGTGCCTCACTTCGCCATCTTCTCGGATCTTCCACGTCGTGTACGGCGGCTCTTGCTCGCGACGTCCGCTACCGGGCTGCAGCGCGTAGCTGCTCTCTAAAGACAGGTCGCGCTGCGCAAGAAGCGTCTTGTAAACCGGTTCCGTGGGCTCCGCGTTGAAGTCGCCCGCTATGATGGTGGGTCGACGGCCCCGATGGTTTTGCACGAAGTCCAAAAGATCTTTGCCCTGCTCGTTCCGGAGGCTCGACAAGAGGCCTCCCTGGCGTGCCTTGAGGTGCGTCGTCACCAGGCACAGCTCGGCGTCGTCGAGCTTGCGGCGAAACACGCAGAGCAGCGTGACCTGGTTGGACTGGCAGGTGAAGACCTCGAGGACGCGTTTTTCGCAGCGTACAAGCTCGAACTTGGCCTTGTCGTAGAAGATGGCACATCCATCGGGTCCGTTGTTGCCACGGACGTAGCAGCACGGCGAGTCTGGCTTGGGGAAGAAGGTACCGCCGAAGCCCACGCTACCCAGGCTAGCCCTCAGAAACTTGTAGTGGTCCACCTCTTGTAGACAGATGAGGTCTGGCTCGTAGCTGAGGACCTCTTCCAGTATCCGCCACCGGCGTTTGCTCCAGTCTAGGGCAGCATCGGGGCAGCAGGCAAAGCCGTCCGCTTGTTCGGCTAGAGCTGCGGGTAGTAGTAGACGTATGAGTGAAAGGACGGGGTAAGTTCCGTGCATGTTTCCTCGATAGCATTTGATGTTACCCGAGATGCCGTTGAGAACTTGATCTCAAATTTAATGGATAAACCACTCCACTTGTCTTATCCCGACCCCACGTGTGTAATCTTTCGCTTAAGAGGTGGAGTGCATTATAAAAATCACGTTTAGAAATCTCTGGCCCATGAGACAGATGTGGCTGCCATTCATTCGACTCGAATCTACCACCCTATCTGCCATCATATTTTTTGCCAATGTTGAAATTAGTGGTGCTGGATTCGAATTGCACGAAACAGTTATACTCTCTTTCCGACTACAAAAAGTTTAATTGATCGGGACTGTCGAGGTCTTCTTACAACGAAATATACCCAATTGATTATTTTGCATTGGGAAGGATAAATCGCATACTCGCATTAAACTGATGCATCATGAACACAACACCACAAGAGAAACAAAGCTATTTAATAAAGTTAACGCGTCGCAGCGATAGGCCACACATTTTAAGTAAAAGGCTCACCTTGTGAGAGTAGATTCCACTGTAGCACCCGCACTGTCTCAGGCCCAGGCTGCGCCTGGTAGCGGCCCGTGAAAGATCGCTTCAGCTGTGGGGGTAAGGAGGCCAACTCGCGACGACAGCGCTCCAGAAGGCCGGCCCTCGTGGCTTCCAGCTCGGGCTCAAGCTCGAGGTCCGAGTCTGCCTTGTCCTCGTTCGCTATCTTTGGAGCGGAAGTGAAGCTGCCCATCCTGCGGAAATAACAAGAAAACCAAATTAAGCACGTCAACTGGCCGACGAACGTAGACTTGATATGTCCTTGATCACAAATCATAGCACGCCACAGACGGACAAATTGACATATCTGGCACTGCCCGCGAGTAACGTCGCATCTACGCTTGTATGCTATTGCTTTTGATTTTGATGCAAGTCCTTCTAGGCTTTGCCGGTGTCCAAAAGCGGGCAGAAAACAACTTCGACTTCCTCATCTTCTGTTAGTTGGCTTGGTCAGCAGTAAGCTTCGAGAAGGATGTAAATCCTGTTCCATCCCCACCCTTGCCCGTTTCGGCCTGGATGAGCATCGCACCGGCGTGCGGTCGTGTATCACTACTGCGTGATGCGCGTTAAAGACCACAGACTAAAAAACAACTAGCCCAACTAGCCATCCTTATCTACAAGTCAAATTTAAGGGATTTACGTCCCAAACGAACGCAGAGCATCTGGCACGCCCCAGCGGAGGACTGAGGATTAATTTAGGCCACCTGGGGATCTCTTGACGTGCAACCGGAAGCTCGATTACTCGGCGCCTTCTCCGGAATATGCCTTCGTCATACTGCGCGCAGCTCGGCCGGGAAAGACTCCAGGCTAAGGGTCTAACTGGAACTCTCAAAAACAGCCCAAAAGACAAAAACAAGTAGAAGAGGGCTTGTGCTGTCCGGTCTTTTCTGACTGACCTCGTCGTTCGCGCTGCTTCAGATCGATGCTTAACTAGGCCATAAACTTATATTCTCACAGGAAAATTGTCGCGATTCTGCGCAAGACCAAAGTCACGCTCTCTAAACATTTAACGTCAAGTTTGCTTTCATTTGTTTGATGTCAACATTGAAATGGGCGTTCGAAACCAAATAGCATTTGAAACGCGCAAACAACAGTAGAACGATAACATTCTTGTGTACCGAACGTTGCAATCACCTTGTCCGTGATTAATTGAATAACAGAATCCTGTCCCCCGACCTATAGGACACGAAACAATTAGGAAGCCGAATACCTACAGTGGCTTGTAATTTAAACGCGGACATACGAGCAGTGATATGTGTGCCATTTAGAGGGTACTTGCTGCTTTCACGACATGAGTTAGACTTCGTTTCATCCCAGGATGGACTATGATCACCAAGGCCTATGATCGCCAATCACGTGACAATTAGAAAACCAGGTGGTAGATTGCACCCACATGAGTACGAATGCGCGCGTCTGGACGTACTGATAGGCAAGTATGTTGTATGGCAGATTGCTCGACAAGGTGGAAGCAATCTCCCATGGCTTCTAGCTGATTTGTGATTGGGCCTGGCGATCCGTAGCTTCGGCTTTAGTATGTTCTAAAGTGGTAAGTAGGAAAGTAATGCGACCAGAAGAGCACGCTTCACTTAATCCCTGTGTTGTTTGTAGGCGAGTCGCAGGGTGTTGCCAACCCAAACCTCCTGGATAACATGTAACTGGGGATTATTTACGTCGCCCACCACTCTCTAGCGTTCGACTGGGAATAGTATCCTCACTCACTGAACACCAGCACCAGCCACTCGGCTCTCGGCGGGAGTATCTACTCGGTTTTGTGTTGCTCCGTCGCGGAGCGTTGCCAACACCTGCCAAAAATTCTAACCAAAGCGGCGTAGGACACCCAACTTCACTTTGGTGCCTTCAGCAGAAATTACAGATAACTGAGCAAACTCCCTAGTCATCGTGTAGGCTCTGTAAATTTTACCGACGGCCCCAAGAGGCCCTCGAGAGTGAAACAATGTTTATAAACACACTGAGTAAACTATGCGATTATCATCGTAGTGCATTGCCCCCTCGGACCGCCTTATCGTTGCCAAGACAAATATCTGAAGGTTGTTGACATCAACGGAATGATGGTACGTCGAAAAAAAAAAAAAGTTTTCTCTGTATATGGAGATGCGCCTCAACGGGTAATTAGTGTCTTAGCTGTAGATGAGAAATTTAGCCAGTCCCCTTCTGTGTTCCTGAGTCTCGGGTTTTATTACCATGAATCACCACCAGCTCGCTTGTTTTTTACGTATTATTGGAGTAGAACCGCTAACCTGGGATTTTTTTAACGTGCTTCACGCAGTAGTGAATACACGAAGGCGTGCCGGTACGAAACTCGTCCAGATCGAAACGGGCGGGGATGGCGGGGATCGAACCCAGGAGGTTCCCAGCGCAAGCATTCGCTCCACGCTCCGAGCTGAGACGCGTCAGCCCACTTGGCCACTTAGTTGCTACTCGCGCTTGCTTGCGAAAGGACAACCTGATTCCTAGCGCATATGAGCGAACGTGAAAAAAGCACCGATTCAATCGGTCAAGCAGCTTTTTCGTTGTGGCAAGAGAGACTCGGAATTGTATAGTACATAAGACGCTCAAAATCATGCAGCTAGTTGATGAAAAATGCACATGTAGCTATACTTTGTTTTGAAGAACTATCCTGCTATATCACTATTAAAACCGCCTAAACATGATACGACTGGTGTTGAATAATTATAACACAGGGGAAAAAGCTAAATATGGGACGCTATGAGAGAAGACCACGTGGTAGAATATAGATAGATCCTCCTTTGACGCAAGGTCTCCGAGAAGACAGCTGTCCAAACAGGTGATTTTCGGATCCTTTGTTGAGCAATCCAGAAAACCCTAATCAGAACCAGGAAAGGTTAACCGCGGGACTCGAAGGAATGTGGACCTTTTTCTCTTTTTTTTCATATATAGACGACACCACACGGCGAAAGCTCGAAGTGCGATCGGCGTCCGGAAGGAGAGTTGCGCTACCTCTCCCCCGCTGCTCACCTTGCCAATTTTAGTTGGAGCTTTCACCGCTGCGTGGGAAGGGTCTGCGTATGCGCACAACAAATCGTGAAAAATCTTCATTATGCCCTAATAGACCTCGCGCCTGCAACATGCTCAGCTTACTGCAACTTTTCCGAGTTGCCCGTCAGGCTTTCGGCAAGACGGCTGGCAACAAGCATGTTGTTACGTGTGTTACGATGCTTGCAGAGAGGAAAACGAATAACAATAAAATCATCAAAGTACACCCCATACAACTGAGTTCATGATATATGAGCGCGGTGCATATCGCGTCCGCACGTCATGAGCCCTTATCTTTCCAGCGACCAAGGGTCGGCAGATATCGTGTCGGAGCCCGCGTTTCTTATCTGGACTGAACATTGGATTTTCCTGTAAAATGATAGCACAGCGGGCTTGTACCTTCAAGAGGCAGGCCCCGGGCACTCATACACACACACGCACACCTTGCCACGATGTCTGCAATGTGTGAGATAAGGTTATCGTCCGGTTCACGAGTGCGCGGTCCACGAGGAAAAAGGACAACGTCATCCGGGGAGCCGCGCTGCTGGGCAGCCCCGTCCGTATACTATCTCTGGTGCGGCTTCGCTGATTCAGCGATATCAGGTATCTGGAGACTGGGTACGTAGTATAAAGGTTGTAGGGACAATCAGGGTCCAAGAACGGCGTGCACGCGACCGCAAGATAAGTGACGACGACGTCATCGTCCCCCTGCTTCCAGAGTGCCTTCTTTGATACTTGGCGATAGACTCGGGTGTTGCTCAAAATACCTCACCAAACCTAACATCCCTAACAACCAATATATTACCCCACGCGACCGACTTGATATTTTCTTCCATAAATAACGACAACCCAGATGCGTGACAAAGCACATTTCGCGGTTACGAAACGTAGTTTTTTTTCTTAGCTCATTCTGCTTCTCTGTGCGTCGCCATTAGCTCCCTATAACCTGCACCGTCACGCAGTCAGCGTTCCAAAGAATGTCAGTACCGTATTTTGCGGACTATACGTTTTAGAAGCACTTTACGCGGTGCGGACAAAACAAGGTTTGTGTTGTTCCTAGATCGAGACGAAGTATGTAAATGACAGAGTATGCTAATGATGACTTATGCATGATACAAGCTTACTTGTGCGCTACTGAAGCATGCATTTGTCAAGGTGTGCTTCGAATGGGACATTCCTAAGTGCGCATTATATACTTCGTTTCAGCTGAAGTCCAGACGCAACAAGCTAGGCGATCTTGATGCCACCGCCGGCACCTCGTTGGGCAAAATCTGTGAAGTTGCCAGACACACGAATAAAATACCGCCAATCACAACGAGATCCCACGTTTGTGCAGCCCGAGCGAAAAAGCTTCCCCGTCCCCCCGGGATGTCTAACGTCAGCGCCGCTCCGCGCAAAAGCGTGACGTTGTTACCACTAGGGCTGGGCAATTGATCGATTAACCTACCGATTAATCGATTAATGCTTTAATCGCGATTAATTTGTTTAACTGGTTAATCGGTAAAATTTTGACGAACGAAAATTAAATAAAGATGAAATGTTTTCACCATGCAGACACGGACCAGCACACCTATATGAAGTGAAAAATTTAGGTGAAGTATTAACTTAAGGTAAACTGGAAGCGGGAGATTTGTAACTTCAGACAAGTCCAGAAGGTTACACGTGTCCCAGAGACTTCAACGCCGTGCGAGTGTCTGTTTAGCGCAGCAGAGACTGCTGTGAGCAATCAAAGGAGGCCGCCCTTTTCGGAAAATATCAACGAACATTTTTGCCTCATGGAGCATAAGTAATAATATGTGAGTGTGAGTGTTTTTTAACTGTTCCCAACTGTATATCGAAGCTGATTCATAATTGAAATTATTGCGTCGTTTAACACATATTCAGCAAAAAGAAATAAAATAGATGCAATTTTTACTTTTGAGCAATATTATATGCATGGAAATAAACGAGACCGATTAATCGATTAATTAATCGATTAAAGGCTGGCGATTAATTGGGTCAAAAGTTTTAATCGACGCCCAGCCCTAGTTACCACGTGATCAGCATCCCGGGGAGCAAAGGGAAGGATTTCTCCCCCGTGTAAATGAATGCCCCTTAAACAACGTGTTGGTCTATACGGCGAGCAAGTGTTCCAAAAAGGCGTCTTTCGCACATCGGTACGCAGGGAGAAGCATGCCAA